ATCTTAGAAAATGAAAAAGACATAGCTTTTATCAGCTTTAGATTATTCTTACTGCTTAGCTATCACAGTTGCATCTCAGACAGTCTAGCATTGTTTTGTGTTTTCTTTCCCTTTTATTCCCTCTACTAGTGTCACCATATTTTTTCAACTTCTAAATTTAATTTTTGTTTACATGTGGAAATTGTTCTCTTATAGTGAAGGCAAGGTAAAGGCTCTTTCTGTGTTTTATATTTTTATTTTAATAGAACTAGACCATTCACATAGGGATAGGGTAGATAGTGAAGATACTATGCTAACAAAAAGTGTGTGTGAAGGGCTTGATCATTTAAAGAAAAGAAACCAGAGTAACTATATAAAAATCCATCCAGGCATCATAGTGGCATTCTGTCTACTTCTCTATCCTAATTGTATAATTTGTAGCCAAAGTAGCCATGGACCTCGTAGTCATCTGTGTTCATATTCTTACAGTGTTCCTTGCAAAAAAGAGTTCCAGAAAGAATAACTCCTAGTGCAGTAGTCAGGGCACATGCTTGAGAAGTGCAGACTGTGGTTTGAATCCTCTCAGGGTAATGTTAATAAACCAAATCTCTAGGATTATATTTGCTCAATGAGAGTTCTAATTCTGCACTGTCATTACAGAAAAATGAGCAGTATCTCTTATTTCACCATCTTTGAATGAAAGCAAGTAGTTTCTGATCTGTACTGAAATTTGTGTGATCACAGTACTTCTGAAGTTTTGGAGATGTCTGATGAATCAGGTATTTTTGAGACTAAAGCAACATATCAGAGTCTTCCTTTCGTTTATCTGATTATAAGCAGAGCTCTGGTATTATAAATACATAAATATTATAATTACTCCAGCCTGCTGTGGTTGGATGACTTCCTGCTTGTGCAGATGTCAAAGTTTCAGGGCCTATTTGTCACCAAATGAAGGCAAATAAGGCTTAAGTTTAGAGACTTGGAAGACTTGGCAGTACTAGAAAGCAGAGTTTTTTCAACTGTTCTTGTAAATACAAATTCTTTGCAGAAAAGCAAACAGAAATTGCTTTTGCTTCCAAATGTTTTTATTTCTTTTTATTTGTAAAACAGAATCAAGGACATAGGGTATTTCATTCCGGAGTACTGAAAGGTCTGACATATCACTGATCTGGTGAGATATAAGCAAATAATTCAAAAAAGAGAACATACACATGGTTAAATGTATTTTTAAGATGATTCTTTCATGAGCTTTCTGGCATAAACTGAAAGCTCCTGACCTGTTGTCATACCACTTTAGAGATATTCATACTCTGGTACACTGCTCGTCTTTGCATCCACTCCATAGTAAAGCAATAATGGATTGCAGCTTTTCATGTCATCTTACTGCTTTGGCAACGGATGCACCTTTTTTTTCTACTCTGAAATCTTGTCCATGCAGATTTAGAGAAATTTTTATGTTTTGCTGGGATTTTGTGTGCATTATACTCCAATTTCTGATGAAAATACCAATGAAATTGTGCATCTTCTGTATAGTAATCATATACAAAGACAGTAAGTACAATGCTTTCATCAAAGATTACCATATGTTCAGAAATGCCAAATATCCATGGGATATCTGCATCCAGCTGTTAAGAATATGCACAGTAGATCTGGTACTTCCTAAAAAATATTGGAACATACTCACTGTGTCCATGCTAAACATTCAGAAAATTCTGGACTGATATATTTAGTTCTTGACCTGAAGGAGGGAGTCCCTGTACCCTCATGTAGAGGCTGAAGTAATTTTATTTCTCCATTATTAGTACCAAAGACAATAAACCATTTTTTAAATACCCTAAACCCCTGTGAAACTCCCACAAAGATCAGACTACATCAAATGTTTCTATGAACTCAGAGAAAAAAAGTAATATTTTTTGTGCCAAAAGTTTTTGAGTATATTCATATATTCAGCTCATCTCTTTGATATCACTAAATAGGGAGAGCTGTAAAGTCAATCTTTTCTTATATTAAGATTATAATATATGCCTGGTTTTTGTTCAATAGCACAGTTTACTGAAGACATAAAGTAATAATGATATAATTAAGATCCTATGAAGGATAATTAAGACCATGCTCTTTAATCTAATAATTAAGATCCTACCTACAAGGAAAGGTGAACATTAAAAAATTAATAAATGTTAGCCAGTAAAGCAGCAAAATCATTAACAAAAAAGATGTAGCAGCTGCATGGTAAAACAAAGAGAAAAGTGAGCCATAGGGAGAAGAAAGGAATTCAACAGCATGGAAAAAAGAAAAAAACATGGACCATTTTTAATGGAAATCAAATACTGAAATTGTGAATTCCTGATTATCTCCTCATACTGCACTCTGAGCTTGTCTCTGGCATTAAGGTGCAAGAGTAAGGGCACACTGAAGTTTTTACATAAAATTAAGTAGCTCTTAAAGCAAATAGAAGTTTAATTGTTCAAAACATGCTGCAGTGATCTGGTATTGCAGGCTAAGCTTTGAAAAAGTTGGGAAAAAATCCTCACAATGCTGGCTGCTTCCAGTAATGCTTCTTATTTCAGAATTGTTATGTTAAAGAATGATTCTCTTCTGAATTTTTTTGTTGTTTGCTTTGTTTCATCATGGGATAAAATATGGGAAATATAAAGCACAGATAAATGTGCACTTTTGTGTTGATATATATCCCATCTGGTTTACCCTTAAGGCTTAACTGTGGCTTTTAGGAGCCTGAGAAGGATTTAGGAATGGAATGGATCCAAGTGTCTGAAAAACATTTCTTGAAGGCCCTTCGACTTTGCATTGTTTGCTGCGTATTGGGGAGAAGAACACAGGGGAGGTATTTCTTTGTGAACACAAGCACACAATTTCTTCACTTAGCAGAAGAAGTCTTGCACAGCAAATGTGAGGATGCAATGGCTTTCCCTTGCAATCAAGTTCCTTTGGGCATTGCAAGCACAGCTGGCTGCCCCAGCCCTGCTTCACAGTTCACTTCTGTCAAAGTTATTGCTATCTTTGTGCTTGTACACTGGAAAGAAGAAAAGACTCTCTGTGCTTTTCTCGATCAGTTCAGCATTTCAGCACAGCTTTAATTTGTCTGATGAGTATGTTTATAGTTGTAAAATCAGACTACTAAGGTGCTAGTCCTTCAGTAACTTAAGCAATATTCTTAGGTTTATTCTGGTTGATTTTTGTTAGCTATCTTATACTAGAGTACTAAGGAGTATCTGTGGAATTGGGGCTGCAGAGCAGAGATAAAATGCAGAAAGAATTCCTACTAATTGCTACTAATTATGAGAGAAAAACAACTGAAAGTATCAATTTAAGTGAGTACTAGTACTATATTCATTTGCAGTACATAATATGTAAATAAATGTAGTAAGGAACAAGAATATTAAAATCATTAATTCAGTTATAATGATAGATACAAACCTTTTCTTTTGCAGTTCAGAGTTGGTACAGGAAACACATACATGTGGCACAAAGAGGAATCAAATTCTGGTTTGACAGGCTCAGGCTTCTCCCGTTTTATGTTTCTGGGGTCCTGCCTGTCCTCTTCACTACATAGTTGATCAGCTTTTATCTGCTTTAGCTTTTGATTTTTCAGTTCTATTGGGTACACACATTTGGCATAATTTCCCAAATTTCTGTTTGTTGGAACCTGTAGCATTGTAACAAGGGTTTCTAGTTCACAGTTGCAATGCCAGGGATTATCATAAAGGCGTAGGTAGTTTAGACTGGGTGTATAAATAAAAATCTCTTCAGACAAACTCTTAATTTGGTTATGCTGAAGTAAAAGTGTGGTAAGTTTATTCAAACCGAAAAAAGCCTCGCTCTCAATTTTTGATATATCATTCTGTTGTAAATCTAGACTTTTCAGTGCTTTATACTTGGAAAACATATTATTCTTCAATTTGCGAATCCTGTTTCTTGCTAGCAGCATGTGTTTTATATCCTCTGGCCAATCAGGTCCCACAAAAATCAATTTTCTCTCCTGACAATCTAAGTATTTCTCATGAAGGTGAGTGTAAATATCACATGTTAGACCTTGGGCATTGCGCTTAACAGTGCTAGATGCTCTCCTTAAGATGTTTTCCCTTTCATTGTTTTTCAAACTCCTATTCCTTGTCCTTCTACAGTCAGATGCTTTACAAAGAAAAAGTAGTACTACAATAGTAACTAGTTGCATCCTGACATTCAGCTGGCGCCAGTTATTTTCTGTGACAGCTGGAACAGTTGAAATTTTTGAATAGTCTGAATCAGTGTTGTACAGATCTGAGGAGGCACAGCTGGGGTATGTGGGATCCCTGTGTTGGAAGAAAAGTAAAACATTAGAACAGATGAAATGGGCATTTTCATAGAGGCTTGTACATAATATGCAGCATTCAGTCAAGTACTCAATCATCACATTACTTGGAGCTTCACAAACACTTTGAAGATTTAATGTCCTAACTTTGTTAGTTAGTTAGTTAGTTTGTTTGTTTGTTTTTACTGTCTCTGGTCTACTAGGTCTACTTGATAAAACACGGGAAACTGTATGGACCAATTTCTAAATTATCTGTGTCAGGAGGTTCTTGTGTTCAGGAAAATGGCATCAGGTTGGATCTTCTTTACATTTAAGTTAATCTTGGAAGTTGGGTTTGAAAGAGGAGTTTGAAGCTGATATATTCCAGCTTTCTTGGTGCTAAACAGCTGGAACACATACACAGTCAGACCAGGGAAAGTCATCCAGTGACTGTCAAACTCACAGTTTTAGTCTGCACTTGAGTGTGGACTTGTTTTCAAGTCATTTTCTCAAGTCAGTTTGCTCCAACTCTGTATTCTACTTTTGGGGTTTGTGCTTTCATCTCAGTAATGTACTGTGACCATGAGTTCAGGATATTGGCCTAGATGGACTGAATGTGTATGAGGAATTCATATACTTATGTCATATGCTGAGAATTTGAGCTGTTCACCTTTAATTATAATGTGGGTTTGGTTGGGTTTGGGTTTTTTTTTGGTTTTGTGGGTTTTTTTAGGTGACTGTAGAAATTTGCAAGTTTTGAATATCTCTGAATGCCAGGGGTTAAATGTAAAGGCTATAGACTTTTCCTATGAAATTTAATTTATACCAAGAGGGGAGATTTTTTCCTAGTGCTGTGGTTATTTGGGTACAAAAATGTTCCTGATAAAAAATAAAGACTTGTGTTCTCAAGTACTTTGAAAATGGAATTTAGTAGGATTCAAAGATAATCAGTGAAGTTCTCATCGGTTTCATACTGTGCCAGGGAAAATCATATATTCCATTTCAATTAATTTTAATAAACAGGCTTCAAAACTTCACCAGTTTGGGAGGAGGGTTTTGTTATTATGAGCTTGGAGTTGTTCACAATACATTTTAATACTATATTGTTTTCAGGTTCCTTTATTCCTTCCTTCAGTAGTACACTTGAGCTGTAAAAACATCTCACTAAATTTCTTGATATTTTTGGGAGCTTTTGAAAGGTGTCAATGCTATCACCATCATGCATTTGTCCATTTTTTTCCAGTTTAACATTTTCAGTTTTATCTTGCTTCCATTATTTCTCTTTAATGTTTTTGTCATTACTGTCTCTGATGGAAAAACAATATTTCACTCTGCCTTAATTACCAATTTCTTAGAAAAGACACTGATATGTGAAAATTTTTCTAGTAATAAAATCAATCTAAAGATAAAATTAATATTTTGTTAAGAAATTATGGTTATTAATAGACAAATGATGTATACATCCATTTATAGGCTATCCTAGTTTTAGATATATAAATAAATAATTTGGTATAGTTTAGTTGTCTTTGTAGTGAAGTGTACATGCAGGGTTTTAGCCAAGAAACATGCCAGTATTTACACAAAAGGTTTTAAAAATTACCACAGATCAACTACAGCTTATGTACTTGATGCAAAAATGGCTTATCATAGTCAAGTTAGAGAGGCAAGAGCTGCAGAAGAATCATGAGATTCTAATTTGTAATACTCTGGTTTAGTTCTGCTTTACATATATCTTCATCTCTGTCCTATTTATTGCCAAGTGTCTTGTTCTCATATTTTTCACAGATTATGTAAAATTCTTTGCTATAGCAGCTACAAGGAATGGATAAAGAATTACTATGAAGTCCTTTGAGTAACACTGTAGAATCAGCTTGCTATATAACATAATATTTGCTATATGATGTTATAATTGCAGTGTAATATTTAGAGGTTGTGTGCCTCTCCAGGGTCATGTTGATTGTAGGTTCCTGCTTTCTGTCCAGTGTCTGGACTGGACTGGACTGCGTGGGCTTATTCCATCCCAGCTGTAGGACTTAGCGTCTGCCTTTGTTGAACTGAATGAGGTTTCTGTCAGCCCATTTTTCCAGACTGAATCTCTCAGAATAGCAGTTCTAGCCTCCAGTGTATCAACAGATCCCCCAATTTGGAATAATTAGTGAATTTGCTGCGAATGTATTCTGTTCCTACCATCCAAACCATTTATAAGGACATTTAACAGTCCTGGCCTCCATACTGACCCTTGAGGGATGCCAGTTTCCACAGGACACCAGTGGGACTTTAGCGCTATCAGTGACAACCCTTTGGGCTCGCAGTCAAGACAAAGTTTCACTCATCTTGAAGTCCATTTACCCAGTCTTTATTTTACCAATTTGGCTATAAAGGATACTATGGCCTGTGCTGAAGGCCTTGCTGAAGTCAAGATGCACAATAGATGCTTTTATCCCCTTATCTGTAGATCCAGTAATTCCATCATAGAAAACTACCATCTTAGTGAGGAATTCTTCGCCCTTGGTAGATTCACACTGGCTGCTTGCTGTGACTTTTTCATCCCTCATGTTCTTGGACGGGGCTTCAAGGAGGATTTGCTGCATAGCATTCCCAGGGACTCAGGTGGAGCCGACTGGCCTGTAGTTTCTTGGATCTTCCATTTCCTGAAAATGGATGTGACATTTCCTATCTTCCAGTCATTAGGAATCTCCTCTGATTGTCATGAACTTTCAAAACTGAGCAAGGCCTCTCAGTGAGAAGAGCCAGCTGTCTCAACTCCTCAATGCACCCTGTCTCACTCCATTTCCTCAGGTGCTCCCTGACATTAACTTCTACCATGGGTATTGCTTCATTCCCAGAGACTGTCCTCATAGGCTCCAAGCAAGGCACCTGGGAAGCCTTCAGACAAGCCTCAGTAGTAAAAACTGAGGCAAAAAAGTAACCCCTTTTTAACCCTATCCATTATTCCACAGCCCTCCAGGGCTGTATTCCATGAGATCCTGTTAAGCAGATCCCTGAACAAGCCAAAATCTGCTACTGAGTTCAGGGTTTTTTCTGCTGTGGTTTGTCCAGTTTTCTTCTCTCAGGATTTTGAACTTCTCTTTTTCATGGTCACAGTAACAAAGCCACTCTAGTTCTTCATGTTCCTTCACCCCTTGAAAAAAGTATTTCCTAGACCACTTGTCAGCCAGCTGGATCAAGAAGTTGTCTTCAACATACTGTGGAAGTCCCTGAATTTTTCATGCCCAGCCATATTGTTCTTCCAGCAGGTGTCACAGTGGTTAAAGTCTCTCATGAGTAACCAGGATAAGCAATAGTAAGGCTTCCTTCAGCTGCCCAAAGGTTTCATCTGCTTCTTTACTTGATCAAGCAATTTGTAGCAGATACCTATCCCAATGTAATCCTCATAGGTCTAGCCTCTAATCCTTAAAATAAGCTCTTGATTGGCTTGTCATCCATTCCGAGGCAAAGCTCCATGTGTTCAGGCATAACTTTGCGTAGAGTGCAACCCATCCTCACCTTTCTGGGCTATCATTCCTAAATATTCTGGAACCATTCACTGTACCCCTCCGCTTGTGTGTGCTACCCTTTTGAATCCCTGGAGTCCCAACGAAATCACAGCTCTGTATCTGTGTGTGGACTTTGGTCTCTGCTGGTTGATTCCTGTGCAACAAGTGTTTGTGTTCAGAACTTGGGACAGAGCCTTGGTTGTGCTGCTTTCATGTGGAAGGTTTTGGAGTTTTCCCTCATCATGCTATCCCCCCCCAGTGCTTTCTCATCACTGCCCGTGCCTTCAGTCCTCTTCAGGTTACAGTTATCTTCCATCAACATACTTATTTTCATTGATATCTCCTCTCTCAAATCCTTCGTTACAGGAATATATTTCAAAAGCACAAACTGTCCTCTTTAGAGTTAGTTGATTGGTATTGAATTACCAGCTATCTGGATTGTCCTTTTGCCTGATAACTGAAATAGTGACAAGGTGACCACAATGTGGCAAAAGGTATGCACTCAACTACTACATTTTCATGTAGAAGTGCTGACTTTTTGCCTTTCTATTATATTGACATTTACTGTGAAATGTTCTTTGTACTAGGAGATTTGTTCCTATTATATAGTAATGGAACGATATATAGAACACTATAGGTAGTACCTCTTCTGCAGGTCAATAAAATGTAGAAGCACTATAATTACTCAAATCTAACATTCCACATAGAAGTTGGAACTAAACAGGAAGAATTATGTAAATTATATTAAGGGTTAGAGAAATGCGCCAGAGCTCATGGATAAAATTCACCAGTGGTTTTAGATTGGCTAAGAGTAATCTTGATTTACCAAAATGTGTAAACATGTGCTAACTTTCAATCATATGAAAAGTTCTCATGCTCTGTAGGTCTGTATAGTGTATGTATCCTCGAATTAAAATGATAAAATGACCATACTTCAAGCGAGTAAGGGTAGCATCAGATGTCTCTCAGTATTCTACTCTGAGGATTCCAAAGAAAATGGCAATAAAAATTATTATGATGATTTAAAGATATTTAATCATGGCTTTTTTCCCTTGAAACTCTGCATAAAAAGGTCAGATAAATTAATGCAAATACAAATATAATTTTAATATACTTCTGGACTTTTTTCATTAGTCAGGATGAATTGATGAGACATCAGAAGGCTGCAGAGCTCTTCTCTATTTAAGTCTGTTGTATAGAGATAATACTAATGGAGTCCTATGACTTTTGTCAAGGTAAAATTAATCAGAAATACGAAAGTGTATTTGTTTTAATCCTGTAGGAAATTTAGAGGCATATGTAACACAAATACTCTTTTTGAGTGATTTGCAGGATTCTGTTTGCTATGAAAAATTAAATGAATGTCCCATACATTTCACTTAGATAGCAGTTCTTTTATCTTTTTAGTATGTTTAAAAATATATGGTAGAGTCCCCTATATATTGCACAGAGTTTACAAAAGTTTTTAAAAGAACATGCTATCCAAAAATGTCTTGTCCATGTCCAGTTCCTCACTGATGATGCAAGAAGTTTGCAAGTTAGATATGTTCTTAATAATTTGTTTTTGAAACACAGGATTGTGGATAGGTGTATTGTGTGAGCCAAGGCCTTGTGTGAAAACTGCAAAAGAAGGATTTATTCCAAACTCTTATTTGGAAGATCAGTGAGCTGAAAGCAGAGAATTTACAATCGTACAAAAGTCTGCCATTCCTGTTTTTAAATGTATCCCTTGAGACCTGAAGTCTGCCTGGCTGGTAGAATTGCTGCATTAAAAGCTGCCATGGAGGACAAGAGATGTGCTGGTCTATGAGAGCAGCCATCACAAAGATGGATATAGATTTGAAGATAACTGTACATTTTTTCCCTTTTCTACGAGGAAAACAAATGTCTTTCTTTCAACAGCATCCCCATAAAGCTCAGAAACATGTTTTTCTTTGGCATTTGCATAATAAATTTTGACTTTTGTTTTTCTTAGTCTGTAACACCATATCCTCATATAACTAACATTTGTTTTGGCAAAGTTTTGTATTTCATGTCTCCAATCTTACCACTCATCTCCTCATTAGTATTATCCTTATTATAATCTCTGTTTTCTCCATGTTGGCTGGTATTTTTAAATTTCCATATATTTATGCTGAAGTTTGGAATGTCATTTCTTTTGATGTGTAAATAGCACATACCAAAGAAAAAATATCCACTATTAAAATACCTTTTGCAATTAATTTGTACCTTGTTAATAAGAAACTCTCCCAAGTCACACATGATGCTTCTGATTTAAAACCATAAGATTCCACTGTTGGTACTGACAATTTTTGGACAAAAAAACAAAGCTCATTGTTTCTGAGGTTATGTGGAGGTACAGAAAGTTGCTGTCCTGTGAAGATTTTGATAGCAGACAGATTTCATAAACATTTTACATCATCTCAAAAGCATTAGCTCAGCACAAGTCCTCTGTATATGGTAACTAATACAAAGTGCTTAGAGGTGGCAGTATTGCATTTCATAATAGTGTACGTGAAGTTTGCTGTGGTATGTCAGACATCCTTTATTGGAACAAGGAGCTAGTGGAGTGTAAGGGTCATGTTTTATTCTCTCATACTATTCCATACAAGCATTTTAACCTCCATATTTCACAACACAAATAATCAGCTACAATTTCCCTCTGAAAAGTTCTGTTGCATTTGGTAGACATGAGTATTGTCCATCAAGAATAAATGTCAGAAGGGGATTTTGTCAGATTGCTTTAAAACAATTATCTTGAGATTGCAAATGTCAAAATTAATTGAAGAACCAGTATGATTTAACTCCTGCAGAATTTAGCTCTAACACAAAACAAGAATTTTTAGTAGTCTGTGTGCTCAAGATTAAGTTTTAAAATGGAAAAGAAGGAATGTGTTAAAATTCTCAGATCATAAAAAAATTAGTTATATGACCTATAAAGAAAATTAACATCCCTTCAAAAGTATTATAAGGTTTTGATCACAGCTTTCAATATGCAGTAAGAAAGGCTTACCTGTGTCTTAAGTTGTGCAACCTTGTAGCAACATATACTTTAAAAAGACTTAGAACTACCAGAGTATAAAATTCAATCTCCTAATTTATAATCTATTTTATCAGATATGTTTGAAGTATGCTTCTCCAAGTTTGATTTTTGCTACTTATTTCTGTGGGATATGACCCTGAAACACAAAAAGGCTTAGGCTTCTACAGAGAAGGATACTTTTATTTCTGTTCTTAATATGAACTAAATATTTCCATTTTTAAAAACAGACACCAGAAATAACACATGCCCTTATTTTCTAATATCTAGTTCTGATGCACATTGTCCATCTTGTTGGGTTTTTTTCATGAAATGTAATCTTACATTTAATTTCTTAATATTTTTGTATTATTCTTTTTTTGACAGCATTCTTTTGTACTTCCTATTTCTTTGTGTTCAGTTCAAGTTAGCATGTTTTCCTACTCTATATTGAAAGTATAAAGTCAGCTCCAAAAGTCAGTATTGCCACTCCTTAAGCAGTCAGCTCCTCAGTGGGTGTTCCCATCTTTCTTCAAAATGCCTGCTTTGGCTGACTTGCAGAACTGCATTACTATATCCCTACAACTAAATGTCTACCAGAACAGAAGGTCCTAATTCTAGGTTTTGATTTTCTGCATGCTTTCATTTGTGGTGCTTGTGGCAATTGTTATTTATTCCAGTTAGAAATGTAGTTCAGTAAAATGAATAGTTTCCAGCATGATATAAACCAAAGCTGCAGATGGAAACTTAAATTCAGAGTATAGATTCTTGCTTTTACAGAGTGCTGTTGGTTAACATTTTCTACTTACACAGTTTGGTCTCTCTTAACTAATGTTTAGTATAAAGAAATGTTTTCCAAAAGAACAGATCAAAATCTAAAATTGCGTGACTCACCTTAGGATAATTCCCTTTTGTAACTCTTTCAATTTTTCATATTCTTTTAATAGTACTCTTCTACATAATTATATTACTTGAGAAGCTTTAACTGCACATTTAAGCTTTTAACATTCTTTGATAGAGATCTGGTTTTCATTTCCAGCAGGCACTGCTTGTAAAATTAATGGCAAAGGAAGTCCAGAAAACTTACACTGAAAAATCATACTTGCAAAGCATGCACAAAAAAGTTCCAATTAATTTTAAAAGTATGCTTTTGCAGTTATTGGAGATAACTTTAAAATTATACTGGTTTCATATGGCTAAACATGTTGTATGATAGTGCTATTCCCCAGTAATTTGCAATACAAGGAGCAGAGAAAAAAGTGCAGCAGAAAGGATTTTCAAACATCAGCAAGAAGATAACTCGATTTCATATTGAACATCTTTTCTTTACAGTAATTTTCAGAATACTTTAACAACGGTATTTTATGTTCTTTTGATTCTGTAACATGTCCTTTTAATAATTTTCTTTCTGTTGTTTTTTGTGGTTTGGGAGTTTTTTTGGTTCTTTTTTGTTTGTTTGTTTTTGGTTTTTTTTTTGCAAAGCAACTTCCCCACTTTACAGTATCTGAGTTTAGCTCACTGCAGAAAATTCACAGGCAAAGGTTTACCATACCTGGACTCTGGAAGAAGCTGTCACAGGCTCATCTGTTTGGAAATGTCAGGTTGCATTCAGGTTTGTAGTTCACGTCTTTCTTTCATACTGAGAAGCAAAGAATCCTTTATATGACTGGCTGCATCCTGCATTCATGGTATACTGGAGCTGAAAGAGTACTGCAGCAGCCTTCCAGGGTTTTGAATTACATGACTACAGCTGTTTAAGTTTTACTCAGGAATAATAGCACTATAGGTTTGGATCCCTTCCAGCAAACTGTCAGATCTATAAACAGCTAGTGCTTACTGCATAATGAGAACAAGGCTTGCTTTTTGTAGCCATAAATAGACTAATTCTATGTCATGATTAGTTGGGGTTTAAAATCTGGAGCTTTGGAAATGCAGTTTTTGCTAAGATATCAAAAAAATAAAAGACACTCTGTGCTGGAAAAAAAAAAGAAAAATTTACAATTGATTTCCTAAAAAGGAATTTAATTAAAAAGTTAATTTTTCTTACTATTTTATATTGCTTTAATATATAAATAGACATAGTATTTATAACTGCAATCAAAAGTAGTTAATATTTTGGATTATTTTAGTATCCTACTAAACTGCTAAAGAAAACCGAAGTTTTAGAATGTGGTACATTTTAGAAACTTTCAAATGTATACTGTATCTTGAAACATACTCCAAAAGCAATATGAAATGCCAGATGGTAAGACAATAAAGACTCCACATACATTTCTCAATACACTGAGTAGATTCTCCATATTACAAAATACCTGTGAAATGATAAAGAGGTGGAGTCTGAATAATATCATGGTTTAACTTTGCATCTAATAAAACCTTTTCAGAACCAAGGATGAAGGCAGATGGGGCAACAGTCTTGTTCTAATTGATCTTTACTGAGTATCTGTTTCTTTTTTATAACAGTCATCCTGAGACTGTTGTGCAGTGACAGTGTGAAGTTTGAAATGAGGGCTGAGATTAGAGGAAAGTTAAGAACTACCTACCTCTGAGTTACTTTTTCAAAATGCCAGTAATTGGTTCTGTTTCCCAAAAGCATCATTCCTTCTTGTTCAGAAGTGTCATCATGAGCTGTAGGGCTCTGCCTCTAGAAAGCATGATCTAATAGTACTCAGAGAAAAGGGATCATCATCAGACTGGGAAAACCACAGTCCTTCCCTTCCAGAGGAAAGTGGGCTTGCTTGCCAGTGTGTTTGAGAGCTCTGAAAGGAATTCCACAGCTTGCTCCATTTTGGGTTTCCCCATGATTCTGGAGCAGTGCTTAATGATTATAACCAAGTGCTTAAGTAAACAGTTAAAACAAAAAAGAGCATCAAATTGCATCACAGTTACAGAAAGCATTTTAATAAGGTATTTTTTTTCCCCTCTCACTGGATGAACTAAACCAAAGGGAACTTCTGAAAGGCTAATATTTCAGATTTAGTTAGAAAAATGTAGGGAAGCTATAGTATACATATTTAAATTATGCTAAAAATGTTCTATAGAACAGAATATATATTCTATAGAATACGTATTTTCCCTATTTTTTCATTATTCTTGTTTTCTTCTTTTATTTAGTATTAGAGTTCTTTTTATATGAATTCTTCTATTACCATTATTACTGAAGGATTTGAACATCTATTTAGAAAGCCCATGTGTAAAATGGGTGATTATGCGAATGATTTTGTGAAGTGGCAACTTGAGGACCCAGGCATTTAAATAGCTTGTTAAAACATAGTTAGGCAGAAAAAAGGGAATTCTAGTTCGTTGTCATGAAACAGGACAGTCTTTCCTTTGACTGTTACATTAATACTTGGTGATAACACTGGATGAATTGTAGGTAAGGGGTTTTTTTTGCATAAAACACAGTAATCAAGATCTTGTCCTTATGACACAGGTGGTAAATATTTTCACTAATGAATTTCAACATATTTTCATAAAAATACAGAGATTCTCTTGTGTCTTGCTCAAAGGCTACCCTGTTACACCATTGATGTTCTCATAGCATTATGTAGAAAGTATAAGATTTCTTTGTCCTGCTTCTGAAGCTGAACAGCACAGGAGGAAAATTTTCTGCTGTTAGACACAAAACTGAAAAGACGGGAGGGTATAAAGCAATTGCATGTCATTTATCAACATATTAGGTGGGGATGATACATCTAGAACAGTTTGATGAGAGATATTTCTAGTTAAATTAGAAAAATGGAGGTGTTCAAAGAAATTGACCTTTTTTGTGGTGACATTTGTGGCTGAATTTTTGACTGAAACTATTCTGGCCCAAAATGTGTTAGAACAGTCTGTCACTTGCTGTGGTTTACAACAGCTGGATAAGCCACTGGGAAAAATAAATCTGACCCTTTCATTTCTTGACATCCTGCAGTGTTAGTGGGGACGTCAGGAAAGCTATTGGCAAATGTGTAGGCTTCACCAGTTTTCACCATCTGCAGTCCTCCTGCTCTGGCTTCATTGGGAGAATTCTCATTTTGTCAAATTCTGGCTTCTTCGGACCTATCGAGCAACAAAAAGGGGCCATCACTTGGGGAGCAAGTCTGAGCCATGTTCTTTATTTATTGAAGAAGAGAACTGATTGTTTACATTTCCTGAGTACAAACTTGTGTAACTGAAGAATACTATAAGTTGCACATGGACTGTTATTTATTTTTAGAAAAATGCTAATTCAGGAGTATGTTAATATAAGCTTTTTCTTTTGTACAGTGGAAAACTAAAAGAAAAATAACATGTAGAGGCAAGCCATTAATGTAATATGCTAAACATCTGAAGGGATGCCACGATTCATTTTATGATTCTCAATAAAGAGAGGACACAAAAAAAAAAGATAGTCCCTTGTGCCCCAGAGAGTACTTCCTTGATCCTGAACATTGATTTTCAAGTTTCTACACTCAGAGTGCATTGCCAATACTGGAATCATAGAATAGTGTTTCTTCAAAATCCCTTCTGTACTGCAGACAGCATTCTGCCTTGCAGGATGGATTTCACAAATACAGTCAGTTCTGGGGAGAAAGATGGAATTTTAAAGTAGGAGATGTGTAGCAAAGAAGTCAAAACCTCAATAAAAAAATCTGCATAGTCCTATTCTTTGGGATTAAGAAACTGCAAAAAGATTAAATTAAATGAACTTTGAGATTCTTACAAGCATTTTATCATTTCACTACATTTATTTTCTAAATTTATGGGGACAGATCTTTAGCTTTGGTTTGCTCCATGTTTGTTTTGATGTACTTTCGTTTCAGATCACAGTATCCTAGCATACAATTTAGAAAAAACCCAAGTCAGTCATTTACATATTAGACTGAAAACTCCTGCACACACAGACTTATATTTTACTTGTTTACTTTGTTTTATTTATATTTATATTTTATCATTCCATTGACTTCTGATCTGTATGTGCAAGAAAAGTAAAACATTTATAGAATAATCTTACAGGTCATGCTGGAAAAGTCTATTTTGCAGAATTTTGTAGGAGCTAAGACTCAATAACCTTCAAAAGATCTCTTCTCACAATTGGTTTGAAGGAGAAGGTTTAAGTTGGTTTTTACTCATCTGGGTCAAAGAATTCAGGATTAAACTCCTTATGTATCCTAACACTGATTCTCTGGACAAACTCTTCACTCTTGAGGCAATCTATTAAACGTGGCAATTTCAGGTGAGTTGAGAAAGCAATTGTTTTACTAAAATGTGCACAAAATTTCATATTTCTATACTTTATCTTCAAGAGTACCTGAAGTTTCATAGATAGTCCATACGGGCTTTAGAGAAGAAATTAAGGTTAAGATTTTATCATTCTGGGAATAAAGGAAAATAAGATAAATACATATGATATTGCAATAGCATCTAAATGTTGACTAATTTTATTTAATCTTATCTGAATACATGTTTCACACTGGAACTTTCTCAGCCTGATGCCCGAGACTCATTATCCAGTTATTAAGTTAAAAAACAGTTTGAGTGAAAAAAAAGTTTAAACAATCTCTGCAGGGGTATTATTAACTGCTTCAGTATAATTTGGTTTGGCTTGCATGGAGGAAAACACCAGATTTCTGCTATTTGTGGTATCAAATGGCTATGTTAAGCAAACAGTGTTTTTCCAGACAGAGATTAAAAGTCCTTTAGACTGCAGTTAACATTATGCAATCCTTAGTGAATTCCAGAAACAGACATGCTACTTCTGTTCCTAAGGTGGTGCCTAGAAAATTAATTTATCTATGTAACCATTAGAGAGGGAGGGAGGTCTCCAGAGATGATTCAGACTTTGTCAGATCTGACCTGTCTTGGGATCTTTGTTGCTCTTTGCTATACAGAGATCCCAGGATTCATAATTTTTCTGTTGTGGCACTTGAGAGCCAATGAGGAAGAGGCCTGTTGCAGGGTTCGGTAAACTCTTGCTTGGACGAATTGGTGATGCCATGGTAAAGCAATTGGTGCTTCCTGACCAGCAGAGAATAAAGATTTCCCAGTGCTTCCCTCAGGCAGTTGCTTTTGTGATATTCACAATTAAGCTAATCCGTTTCATACATACTGAAGGTTTTGGGCTGAGGAAATAAGATAGGATTATATTGTCCTACATTACATATGCCAATAGTGAGTACAAAATTAGAATTGGACAGCTGAATTTTATATTCTGTCCTGAGAACTAGCACCCATCTTTCAATGCCAACATTTTACCTTCTAGTGATCATTAGCAGTAGAAAAGAATATTACCTTTGCCATATACTGTTAGTGGTTGTTTTGCAATCATTTGTGGTGGGCAAACCCAACCTATCCATGCTGATGAATGAGATCTACTGTACCCTTTGCAGATCCTCACTGATGTGTTACCCATACCAACCACATTCCCAAAGTCACAGTGCCCTTTTGTCCAACAGACATGTCTCAGTTGGAGGTGCTGTGAGAGCCTGGACCTCACCAACAGGCTCTACATGCTCTGAGCAGCTCGTGGTTACAAGATGGTTCTTTCTGTATAATCCTATTCTGCAGCCCTGCAGCCTCCCAAGATTTTCCTTCTTCATCTCTTTCTTACGGTATGGCTGTTCTTAGAGGAGCCTGATCCAGGTTCCGCAGCTGCACCATATCAGACCTGACCTTGAGCACAGGCAGCTGTCAGGTAGTTGATGGGATTTATATTGCCATGCATTACTGGTAAAATATTTCTTCTATTTATTTTGGTGGTAGGGTTTTCACTCTCATTTTGCAGGCTGCTACAGATCCACTGTAGGAAAAACATTTATGCTACACTTGTCCTGAGCGTAAAACACACCAGATTATTTACAGTGCTAACAGTGCCAGTGTGTGTCATGAGCCACACCATATTCTGGCTGGCTGGCTGTGAGACCTGCACAAACATTTCCAGCCACTTCCCCTCTAGTGCTGACAACCCCGCTGCACAAGGGAAAAAATGCAAAGAGTGCCACAGTCCTTTAAGGAGAGAGAAGACATTTGACATCAAAATATTTAGAACAATTTACAAAGAATCTGTTTAAAAGGCCACTTCAGCCTGAAAATAAAGAGCAAGCCAACCTGGGCATAAGTTAAAAGATGGGGCATTATGCCAGAAAAGAAAAGACAGTCTGCCTTGATTATAAATTAAAGTCAGTTACTCCATGAAAAAAAGTGCCAAATGCAAAAAGAACCCGAACGTTAAGTTTGCAAAACGAAGAAGTGCCAGAAACCCAGGGTGTGAATCTTCTAATTCAATGCAAGATGGAAGGAAAACAGGCTTGACCCTTGTTTCCACTGATAAGTAGTAGAGGTGGGGCACAGCAAGAGTCCCTCCCAGTATACTTTATATTACAATTTTCCTGCTTTGGATTCTTCTCTCCACAGGCCTCATTTGGTACCCAGGGGGATATGACAGACTACTTTTTTCTATGGACATTTTGTGAATGAATTGCTGGTGCACAGCATGGCTGTAGTCTGAACTGCACAAAACTGTTATAGAATGATAGGATCATTAAGGTCAGGAAAGACTCCAAGATCACCAAGTCCAACCATCATCTGTTATATTTTACAAATTCAAACGCTTGGGAAACAGTGAAATCTCTACCTGCAAATATCAAGGGGGCAAATTCCTGGGGAGGAATGATTCACATCCAAGTTGTGAAGCTAGAAGGAAACTGTCCTTTACTTTACACAGCATTAATATGTCAAAGGAAATACTTCGTATGCCCAAGAGTGAACGGACATCTATTGAATTTAGGCAGTTGAAGAGTTGTCTCCTTGGACTGATAAAGGGAATAAACTGAATTAACAGATTCATCTGTCCTTTTGTAACTTCACTGAATATTGCTCTGTTATAGTATTCAGGGTTGGTGATATGGTCCTACATGAAGGATTCTCTAAATGAGCTCAATGTTATTGTGATTGCACAGGATCTTTCTTTGTATCCTCTCTGAATTTAACACACATTTTATGTGTGGATCTGGATCTGGAATGGATCCAGATGGAATGGATCTAGAAAAAAAGCAATGAAGATGCTTTACTACATTCAGAGCTTGCTTCAAACTGGATTTTAGCAGTGAATACCTCATAAGTCTGCGAAAACTAAGGTAGAATAATGTGACAATGACATTCATTACTACTTCCATAAATGGTGTCAGCTGTAAAAATTGTTGGACTATACCCTTGCTTGATTAAAAGACACACTTTTTGGACAGATCCTTTGGATTATGTTGTTCAGATTTCAGAATAATATATATACCTTATGGGTCTGTTTTTCTTTTGGCAAGATTAATGCATTTCTTGTTTCAGTGAGCATCTAGGTACCTATGGTTTTAAAATACTGAAGAGATCTCAAGCTTTCCCTGTAATGTTTTTGTTAGGGTTGCTAAGACATAATCATTTCATTTCTTGTCTAAATTTCAGTTGATGTCTTTAGAAGTATTGCCAATGGCTGCAATGGGATTCAAGATCTGCTAATCAGCAAAATGCCAACTCTTACAGACAGATGTATTCAAGTAAGAAAATAAATCTGTACATTTTGAGAAACTTTCTGATGTTGGAACTGGGTTATCCTCTCAAATGACTTTAAAGAAAGTTATTCAGAATGAATTTAAAAGGAAAAGTTCTCTCCAAAACATTTTTTTACAACTATTAGCTAATTATGTTTATAAATCTTGCTCACTTGCAGTCCTGTGCAGAAAATTTCGGTTGTCTTGTCTTCTTTTTTGCATTAATATGTCTGAATTCTGGTCTTCCAGTCTATAAATGAGCACTTTTCACTTTTTTTAGTGTTAAAGCTAATGTAATATATGGGAACAGCATTCTCCTACTGATTTTGCCCATCAAAAAAGAATTTCCAGGCTTCTGCAAAAGTGATTGTTAACTAGATCACTGTCTCACATGTGCCATACTTCATGTCTCCAGGTGCTTACTTCTTTTCCTTGTGTTCCAAAACATAATAAGTATATGAAGAATGTAATTGTTTTATATACTGCTCCCTGTCTAGAAGTTACTGTTTAAATGGATTATGACTATTTGTTTGAAATGGTAACATTTTGGTGTTATATGCAGAATATTTGGTGATCTTTTTTTATGTGACAGCATAGGGATAAGAATGTTTTATGTCACCTTCTCTCTTCAAAGGCTCTGGTTCCAAAATGCCAACAGATAAGGTCTATTTTCTTCCCTGACTCTCCAAAACTTTCTGAACTTTTAAAGCCCTTCCTGAATGTAAACTTGTCAAGGTCAACTCTGAATATTAGTATATTAATTCAAAAAATTCTTAGGATGATGTATTTTTAAAATTCAGTCAGATAATTTGAAATAAATCTTTCAGCTCATTTCAGTGGATATTTGGATCAGTCCCTTAATGTATGTCAGATGTGTAACTTACATCTTCAATATTTCAATTTCAAGTTGATGAGTAAATGCAGCCCCATACATCAGGCACATTCGTGTGTCTGTTTGATGCCAGAAGATTACAGATGCTGGTCTTAGGATGATTTCACCATTGAAACATATTCTTGTACTGAATGTGGCAGACTGTATAAGGTACTAGATCACATTGGATTTCTGTAACCATTGCAAAGGGATTGTAGTAGTTAATTATACTAGTAATAAGTCCTGTTAACACATCTTTCAGTTTTTAAACTAAATTCTTAGAATGTTAATATATGCATCTGCATATATAAAAAAATATTTTATGCAAGTAGTTTTTTGGTCCTGTATCATGTTTTCAAAAATTTATTTATTATTACTCCAATTCAAGCAAAAAAACTAACTGTAGATTTAGTATGACTTCATAGCCATGGCATATTTCAGTGCTGGAATGTGGCTATGAAGAAGATAAATATGATAATCAAAGACAATTCCAGTGTAACAATTATATTGAAACTTGGACATTATTTAATTTTTTGAATATTGAAATAATACTTTATAACTGTCTAATACTAAGATATAAATAAAACTGCCAATTGTTTTTACAATTACCAAGAAAACATTGTTATTTATGGTATAGGGGAAGGATATATTTTATATGAAGGCTTGTTTTCCACTTCAGGTGTGTCACGTATCAGTAGAAACAAAGAAAAATGAAAGAAGTTCCAAAGCTGCACACTTATTCCCTGTTTTATGGCATAGTGAGAGAGTCAAGGGAGAGAGAGGCAAAGCCTACAAACATTTCAAAATCAACAGACCTATAAACAAAGAATTAAGAATTGCTGTTTAAAGTTTCTGACCATGAGAAGTTTCAAGGATTCTGCTTTAATGTGTAACTAAAGTACTTTTTGTGCCTGTTGATGCTGTATAAAAATCTGATAATATTGCCTCTAGAAGCGCCGAGAAGTGCTGGAATAATACCGTGGTATCATGTTGGCAGTTCAGCTGGGCAGGTGGGACAGCTGCCTGCGTATTCTGGTTTAACATTTAGAAGGCTGGGTTTCCAGTCTGTCAGCCAGATCATGGGCTGTGAGTGTGTTTGCACGTGTCTACTGCCTCTAGTGCTAAAGAATTCCTGAATTACCTTAACAAAATTTTTAAGCAGTTGTAAAGCTGTTGTAGAACTGTACTTATTTTATTGCTTTTGCAGACACTTTAAAAAGTTTCAGCATTAACAAAAGTTATAGATTTTAACACATTTAAACTTGTGTGGTGGGTTGACCCTGGGATCCAGGTACCCACCAAAGCTGCTCTCTCACTCACCTCCGGTTACAGAATAAGTATTTTTAAATTTTTTTAATTAAGTTGACTGTATTACCAGGACCTGCCATCCTTATAGACTTCATGCGAGTTGGTTATTCTGAAGTTACATTTCTTAAATTTGTCTGTCATCTAGAATGAAAAACAACTGCACTGTGAAATAACACCAAAACTACCACAGTAGCTGAATTGTTGCAGAGTAATTAACACTTTATGAATTCTAGCTTCTTCTGTAGCTTGTGGTCACACAATGAGGCTCCGTTCAGGTTATCAGTTTATTAGTAGTGCTGAGACTTTGGGATTTGCAGTGATTCTTTGTGCTGCAACAAATTGTACAAGCCAAAATATGATTCTGTCCTGCATAATTCTGGGATTAATTTTTTATTCATCAGGGAACACAAAAGAAATACTGGGAATGCATTGAAAAGCTATGTGTGCAGTAATGTTAAACATACCAGAGATATGAACTGTATTGAAACACCAAAGTTGTAGTCAGCTCTCCAGACTTCTCAGCTTGGCTGAAAGACTTTCAATCTACTTAATTTTTATAACCTTTTTGTATAAGTTAGCTGTGTGGGAGATATGCAATTGATTGAGATATGCTGCTGATGACTTTTGCTTCTGTGCTAGAAGATAATTTTCACTTAAAATTATTTCAGTTCCTTAAATTAAAAAAAAAATTAATACAAATATTACTCTGAGATGTTTAAACAGGTTCTGATACTTTCTAGATGTATTTTTCAAGCTCTGTCTTTCAGAATGGCTGTCATACCTGAGTCCTGGAACTGACAGAAGTTCCCATAATCTCCAATAGGCTTTCTTTTCCAGAAAGTTTGGGTTTTCAGCCGTTCCAAAGTGCAGCATCATTCTGACTCTTTTGAGGGCTATTTTAAAAATACCATTATTAATTTTTGTGTATCTACAATGCTGACTGCTGAATGTAAACCATGTACTGACTTGTATGGAATAGGAAAAGTACTGATTATAAATATTGCCTACATTTCTCTATTTGGGTCAGTGATGGACATGTAAGGCCATTGGTACAAGATTCTTCAGGAGCTTAGCTAAGAAAGCTGAGTGTGAGCTTAGCTCCATCAGAGGCATATTGTACCTCTCCACTGTGATCTAGAAAACAATTGTTAGTGAAAGAATTGCTAATAAGGTATCTTCAGTGTGTCGAGTTGCTAAAACTGGAAAGCAAAAAAAAAAAAAAGCATGTTGGGGAGGCAGGTTAAACATTGCAGGACTCCACATTAGAAGTGCTGGTAGGTCCTGCTTGTGCACAGGGTTCAGAGCCAGTTCTGCTGCTTCGTTTGCTTTTGTGACAAACTCTTTCAAACACTGAACACAGAAATCTGAGGGAATCCTTGTGAAAAAAATTTGCCCTAGAGACTCTTCACTCAGTCACTGTCCAAACAAAATTCTGACCAAAAACCTCATTATTTGGCTCTAACACAAGAGTTTGTGCAAAAGTAATCAAAATGTGAAAAAAAAAATAAAAATGCCTGTATCTTTTATGGAGGTCTGACAATAAAAAAGAAAATTAAGCTAAATAAAGAGAGTTGGGAAATCCAAGACTTCCCTTAATGTGTTAATTTAAAATATCATAAAATTATATCTGAATGAAAATTATACTACCTTGAATTACAGTCCTACAATATTTCAATATAAATGTTTTCTTCTCCTTGCCTGCCACAGCTACTCTTTTAAAATGCTGTGTTGCTTCTTACTCTAGTTTTCACATAGCACAACCCGTGACCTTGGCAACAAGCCAAGCTCTTTTGCTTACACTGCACTGCTAAGGCTTTCAGTTTTCTCTTTCCCACAAGACAGAAAAAATTAACTCAAAAATTGACCATTTTTAATTTTTGCTGTTTCTATCTGAGTGCTAATACCAGCAAAAAAACTGTTAAGATTTTTGCTGTTTGCTGTATTGAAGCGTTAGCATTCATGTGTGGATATTTTCTAGTCTTAAAACATTAATTGATAAAAGGAAATCTTGCAGTCTGCTCTGTAACAGGCTACTGTTTGTATGCTTTGACCTGATATTATGCATTTTATTAGCATACAGAGGAAGTCATACTAAGATCTCTTTCAATTTAGACTTGGTAAGTATTGCTTTAAAAAGCAACTGAGGGCACAATGTTTTATGTGCAGTAATCAACACCCGTACGCTGTGCTGATAGAGAAAACTTGTGAGGCTTATATGCTTCCCTGCAGGCTGTGCAGTAGATCTCTCTTGCTTTTGTTGTCTTGCTGTTTAGTGTTTAGAATGTGCAATTCAGATTTGTACTACCCAAGACAATTTTCCTTTCTGGTTTTTCAAATGACAACAGAATCATTCTGCTCATCAAAGCAGAGCAGAATTTATTTCTGTAAGGATACCTAAGGGAAGGATAGAGGAGAAAAGATACAGCAGAGCCATGTTTTTACAGATTTGTGTCTCAAGTATGACTGTCTTAAGCAAAATGGAAGTTTTTTCCCCCACTGTTGGTGCCTTCCTCTTCTGTGGTTACTCTGAAACCCAGTGTTCCTTTTGTGTCCTGTCTTTCAATCGGCAAACTTGTTGCATTTGGATGAAATGTATTGACTCTTTAGACTTGTCCCTGACAAGAGATTGTTAATTAAAAAAAAAACAAACCCAACAAACCCAGTACCTTATAGACATACAGTAATTAAAAGATATAGTACTAATAAAAAAATACATTAAAAGTCTCTTTCGGGTTTGAAGACGTTTATTATCCTTATCCTGAGTCTACTCCTCAACTTAAAAATTGGAAGTTGAATAAAAGTAATCATTGCATATGTTCAGATTCTGATATTGTGTAAAAAGTTCTGCATCTTACATAGAGAGAACATGCCCAGGGAAACTTCTGAAAATGAGCTAGAATAAAGGAAGTAATTCATCTCATGTTTAAGTTGTATGCTTTAAGTATCTTGCTAAATAAGACCATTCATTAACAAAAACAAATACCATCCAAGGAAAAGGATGTGAACTTTATGTATATGAGAAACTGGCAGCATAATGAAGAAGTTTCTGTACTTTTCTGACTCAGGTTTTGACTATATTGCTTGTACTCTCCAAAAATACATAACATTAAATTAAAAAACCCACACAACTACATTATATATATATATATATTTTAACTTCATTATTTTAGCATTCGTCCCTTTACATTTCAGGTAATATTTCCTTCTTTATTTATTTTTTTTTAAAAACACAGATTTTTTAAGTCTCAATAGCTTTTTTCAATAGTGGGAAAGACATTTGTTCCGTTTTTGTCATTCCTGAAGCACCAGAAATCAGTTTCTTAAAGTTACGAAGAAATTAAAAGAATATAAGAAATGAAAATATTTGCAATTTAATGACAACATTTCTTTGGAAAAAAAAAGCAACAACACAATGACAGAGCAAAGAAACCACCCTTTTTTTTTTCTTGCTAGCCTCCTATCCCTCATTGTTTTCCCTCACATTTTACTCCTCTAAAATCCCTGGAATAGGGACCATAGTGTTTTAAATTATGAGTACAATGAACGTGTTCATGAATGCATAGATAATATCACACGTAATTTTAGAGATCATTGTAAAGGTATTAACAGTATATGTAAGATTTTTAAGCTTCTATTACAGAGAGGAAAACATCAGCATTTAGGACCAAAATCTATCTTATAAAAGCAGACTCAGTGGAAATGCTTCCATGAGTTAGAGAAGCAGTTTTAGTCACCAGTTTTATTCGCATGCTCTCCATATTTTTTTGAAAATGTCTTGAACTTTTTCTGATGTCTACATTAGACAGCCTTGGCAACTTTGCTCCAAGTGTGAGTGTCTGAAAGTGCTCAGCTGCCCGTTTCCTTGTTCTGACACAAACTGCTAATGCACATGGCCTGGACCACCCATATTCCTGGGATGTTAAAAAGTAATTAAGTATAAAAGTATCAGAACATTTGAAGGAAATGTCTTCAATCAAGCAGGACTTAGACAGAAAAACATAGCATAGTAATAAAAGATCCTGAGTTATGTGGAACATCCAGCAACAAAAACAGTAGATGCCCTGACATAGACTCAGGGAAGCTTAATATCAGTGGTGAACTATATGCAGTGTAATAATGACAGAGAAAAAAAAAATGCCTGGAACATAAAAAATAGGTAAAATACTTTAAAAATGGGAAGAACCCTGATACACTTCTGAAATCAAGGATAAAAAGGACATACAAAGCATAGAGAGAAGTATTCTTTGTTTCTGTGCTTTTTTCAGGAATGACTGCCATGTGTGAAATTCTCTCTTATGATAATCTAAGGCCCCATTCTCTTGTGTGACTGAATTGTGTGCTGTGCGTAGTTACAATTCAAACTTCAGGATACTTTGTAATCACTGGGCACTCCTGAGTAGAGGTTATATGGATGTATGAACACTTGGCTGAATTTTCTTTTCTTATGTGTTTGTACTTAATGATCTTCAGATCCTGACTGGTCCTGAAGGCCAGGATGAAACATAAATATTTACTAATATTTTAATAATAAGTTTCTAAATAGGGTGAAAAAACCCCACACAACCAAAAGTGACATTTTGGCTTTCCACAATTACCTCTTTCTTTTTACTCTTAGTGGGATTCTGAATCTGCAGTGACTTGAATTGATAGCCTGGCTCCACTTTTTGGTCTGTTAAAAAATTAGGCCAGTAGGACAGCCTTGTAAAGGTTAATGAAAAAATATTATCAGGTCTAATAGATACGACCAGCTATGGACTGCAAATGAATGAGTTGCATTTGATTTCCAAAGGAAAGGATGTGACAAATCACATGCATTCCTAAGGCAGGGAAAAGGAAATGTTAAAATATATCAAAGCGAGCTCCAAATTCAGCTGTTATCACTCCAAATCACTTGGGAGAATAGAGAAAGAGAGATTTAAACTTGGAGACTTACAAACTTAATTCTGCATAAAAATAGAAATTAAGAACAAAGAGAGTAATTGCAATCGATGCCAGATATGCTAACACCTTGAGTCCCAACACAAATCAGATGGAATTAAAAGTACTGAGCAATGCTGAAAATCAGGCTCAATATTTTTACAGGACGTTTGGTTACAATGGAAGCCCTGTCGTCTGGACTTAGCCTGAAGAAACATTGGCAACCATAGTTTGTAAGTTATGATCTGCTCTAACAGCAAATGGTATTGGATACAGAAATTAAATTTTATGGCATTTGTTGTACACAAAGTTACACAGGGAGGTTTGTGCACTGCAATGGAAAATTGTCTCTACAGTTCCTGTAAACAGATCTAACCCACCTTTATATTAGCTCAGGTATTGGAAACAGTATAGTTAGTGTATACATTTGTGTGAGAACTTAACCATTTTCCAGGAGGTTTTTACTATGTGAAACTAAACTTTGTTCTGCCACATTTGTATTGTTAATGGCAGAATGAATCTGCATGGTAAGAATTACATTCTTCTCTTCTAGTGTTGGATCCATGAAACTGGTGCCTGACTGTGGCTAATCTGTGCAGAAAACTGACCATTTTAGAGGATAAACTGAATCATTTAGTACTAAATGGCTCAGAAATAGAAGATACGTAAGAGCTCCTAAGAACTGTCTTCCAATATTGGAGTCACTTTGGGGTCAATCTACTTGTTTTGGAGTATGAACAGGAAGTAACATCTGTATATCTCTGGAACATAGAGATACATTACAGATGCTGACCCTGAAGGTTACAAAGAGATATGTGAACAGAAATCTCAGAAGAAGTTGAAAATAGTAGCACATGGTTATTGTTAGCAAGAGATGGTACATTCAATGCAGTCCACAGTAGAAAGCCAGAGACTTGCAGCTTGTGAATGTAAATAAGGAAGAGCTGTTCTTTGGTATGTTGTAGCCTCAGGTGACTTTTGTCTACAGCAAGTGAAGATCCTTACCAACTGGTGTAGTTCATACCCATTTTTCCATCTGCAGAAACCATAGTGAAATAATAATAAATGATGTTCTGCTACTGTTTGTAGGCCTCATGTAGTAAAATAAACAAGACAGAACAAAAACATAAAAATTGACTGAAAAAACCCCCCAGCTGTTACAGAGGAATAAGAAGTTTCTTTTAAAGTTGTTTTCTAAATGGAAAGGGTAAAATACATGCTATAGAAGAGATGCTGGACAAAGTCTTCCTTTTTGCGTTGGCAACAGAAGATTCATCCAAGACACAGGAAGGGATTTTTTTATGTTAAAGAGAAAACATGTTTTTGGAGAGTCAGTGATCCTAGTGTGGGTGATCCTACTCTCTATGTTGCACAGTATTTGTTTTGCCAGCATCTGTTTCCAGGGGTTCCAATGATAATACAGCTCCAACCATATCTTTCATAAATGTCAGGAGTCTTAGTATAGAAGATGAAAGTTTTTAGAACTAGGTCAGTATTCTGGATGGGGATCCCTAATGTTATTTATCAGGGAATACTACTGAATAAATCAGGAAGCCTAATAAAACTACTGATAATTGGCTCCTTTGTATGTATGATAGATACAAAACCAATAGTTTAAAATGTCATATAGATTAGACCTCCTACACAGAGCTTGTTTGAAGAGGTTTCTTTTTGGAAACATAGAAATTTCTTAGTTTTTATATGTAATAGATGGTTCCTAATGACATTTCTTGTCTTCCAAGTCTTCACTCTTTCTGTTCTTAAATCTGGAATTAATAATGAAATACCTCAAAGGAGACCTTGATTTTCATTTAACAAAATAGTTCTGTGATTCAATGTCACTTTAATAATATAAATTTATTATAAATTAACTTTGAAGGCATAATAGCATTAGTTGTCAAGTAGCAAAAAAAATATTTATAATATTCTCTAGTATTTCCTTAGCAAGTACATTAAAGTGGGAACACTTTCAAATAAAGAAAAATCCAAGAAGAAATTATGTTCCTAAAGGTCATACTTATCATTATCAGTCTCTGCTGTAAGGAATTCAAGTTCTGGCATAAACCTGTTTTGGGTTTAAGAACATAAATGGTTTATTGTCTTGAATAGGAGTGCTTTAGTCAACAAAAATTTGGAATCTGTAGATTTTCATGAAGCTGTTGAAAGTAATGCTCACTACATAACAGTGTCTGCTGAGGAAAATGCAAATTTATGTGTTTTCATAACTAGGATTTTCCAAGATTGGAAATCTCTCTCCTTGTTCCATTCTTTGGTTTTACTCAGCCTGTGAGATTTCAGGAATTTGCAAAATTTGAACTCCAGCCGCACTCTTCAGCATTATCATTACAGTGTCCACATCTGGATTCCAGACACTATTTACATGTGCTTATTTTTTCAGGCTGACACTTCCTCTCTGCCTACAATTAGGCTGTGCTGTTCACTGCCTAATTGTAGATAATTTATTAACCATGTGGAATAAAGCGATAACTTTGCTTTTCAATAAAGTTTATTTTATTGGTATGAAGTACAGAGATATTCTGCTGTGACTATCAAAATACATTTTACAAAATCAACATTCAATTCTCCTTCAGTTTAGAGTATTTAGGATCAGTCATTGTCCTGTTTCCTGGTGTACAAGCAGTAAAAATCACAAAGCATCTTTAGATCCTTTTGCACTCCTGAAATAGGAATTTACCGAACTTTTCACCTCCCTATTGTCTTGAATATGGAGGTTGTTCATACACCTATGAGTGTGACTGCACTGTTTCAAATCTTGTCTTGTGCCATAGCTGTAGTTATAAAACCCTTAATTGTAAGGCAGCAATTTTAGGACATTATTTGGTCCTAGAAAATAGTATTTTGTTCTCCTAAAAAAAAACCTCCAACAATTATGAAAAGTTCTTTCAACCCCAAATTTTGGAGGAGTGCATCTGTCAATGTATTTTTATGAGAGCCTTGGTGGAAGTGTTTCACATCACACTACTTTTCTTCACTCTCTTTCTTTTTCAGCAGGTGGGAAAATAAAAATTTTTCCCTTTCTCAATTGAATTATTTCTGCTTAGAATTCTTGAACCTTATACATGCTTCAAAAGTATGAGGATAAACTATATGTGTTCCGCTGAAGAGAATGTCTTAAAATATGTGGTAATTCTTAGATGGAAGCTTTACTATACAGGCATTGGACAGTATTGACCATCTTAACATGCTGAATGTAATTACATGTAATCGCATGTATTGATTTTTAAGATTAATTTTTCTGGATTTTTTTAGGGCTTGAGAGCCCTAGGCTGGCCTGGAAAAATATTGGAACTTTCTACATCACAATGCAAAAACATCAGTGACGCTGGGATTCCAGTAAAACTTCACCTATTTTTCAGCGTTCCCTGAAAGCCTCCCTATTTCTTTGAATTAACCATGTCCAAAACTAATGTTATTTTGCTCTCATATCATCATTCATTCTTCATTACACCTTTCTACAGTCTCAAAAATTATTCTACCCTTTCATTCCTACAATTCCATACAGCAGAGATCCATTCAATTATGGCATGAAAAGGGTGGATAGAGGTCAGTTTTTTGCTGTTTACTTCCATACAGAATCTAGTGAGCATGAAATGAACTCAATTTGAAAATTAAGAATGAAGAGAAGGAGATGACTGTTTCTAAAATGTATAGTTAAACTCTGAAATTCCTTGTCCTTATCACAGATTGTTTGTAGTTTACCAAAATCCTTATGGAGATTTGATGAATTCAATATGATTGCATAGATTTACTGCTTTGTATTTCGGAAAAATATAAGAAATAAACACTAGTTAGTAACTTCACAGTATTAAAAAGAGCCATCCCTCTTGTTAAGAAGGAGAGAGGATTTACATCCAAATAAGAGCACTTTCTTTCTGTAACTGAGAATCATTCCTAACCGTAAGTAACAGAAATGCTTAAATCATGTTTTTTAATTATATCAATTCCATGCCCATAAACAGTTGCAGATCATAAGGCCGCAGGTACAGGCAATGCCATCACATAATCCCAGTTTTCAGCTTCTACATTTTTTCCATCATAAATCTTCGACATCCATCATTTTATAGCCATATATTGTAAAAATGAGTTAGTTGTTGTTGTACCACAAGGGCTGCATCTGGATTGAATCTTGCTACCCAACATACACGTCAGGCCGTTAGGATTTGCCTCTTTGGGAATAATTCTGACTCGCCTTTCATGACTGTTCCATGTAAAGTTCCATGTTTTTAACAATGACCAAGTATGTACATCTTGTGTACCTCATGGAAAGTCGAGTAGTGCCAGTGCTGCTGCTCCCAGAGGAGAATATTACCTTCTGTGTTGTGCTGTGCTTATGGCTAAGAAGCTATTTCAGTTTTCTCATTACACAGAGTAAGTTCAAAAAAAGATTGTGAAAAAGAAATGCTTATGCTTTCCTCGTCTGCCATGTGAATCTAAACTTTCTGCAGAAGAAAGCAGCAGCACGGAGTACGTGTAGGAGCAGCAGAAACCTTGTTGTCATGGATCCAGGGAGGACAGGAGAAAGAAGAAGAGATATGAAGCAACTTGAAACAAAATGGCAAATTCTTTTTTGTAAGTTGAATGTAAAGATGTGAGTTTATGGAAAGTTTGTAAAGAGTAATCCCATTATAATCCCACTGCCTATTTCCAGGCAGTATAACAGTATGTAAATGCTTATGTGATCCCATATATTGTAAATAGGATCTTTGCTCATTCATAACTCACGTGATGCTCACTTAATGAGCAGCACTTTAGTATTTGATATTTTCATTGACGTTTGTGTGTGTCCTCAGGCCTTCTTTACACAGAATTAAAATTGTGCAAATAAGTCAGAAAATTATATTTGCTTCATGTGGCATTTGATTTTTTGTAGTGTCTAAAGATTTTTCAAACTTTATTTACCTTCACAACCTCTTCTGTTATTTTCTTTATAGGCACAGAACCAGGGATACAGAGATGAAGGGAGCAAACAAAGCTCCATCTCCTTTGGTTGCAAATATAATTTCAATGCTATTTGCAAAATAATGCAGGGGTAGACTTAAGAGTTAAGAGCAAATTCAGAACCTAACTTGGAAGGATATTTTAAATATGTATGTAGGCAAGCTATGTTAGTAAAAATAAGATAAACATATCTCATAGGCATTGAAATCCTGGCTTCAGCTCGTGTTACATACCCTAGCTGAGAATGTAGTGATTAAGTCATCACATCTGAGGCCTAATTCTGAACGGTGTGCAGTTTCTCTTGCACATGGATAATAAACATTCAGTTGCTGAGTTGAGAATGTTTCTGTGTTACAGGTGGCAAACCGCCTGTAGAGCCAAGATTGAAATAGGAAGGGCACAGAAGCCGATTCAGAATATGAATTCTGAATTGTCCACTCTAACCAGTCCTAAGTTAAAACACTTGACATTCTAGTATTTTGTAAAATAAAACAAGAACCCAAAGCCCAAGAAGCACTGCCTTCCTAGAGCTGTACTGATGGACAGAAAAAAGAAACTGAAGTGAGGATATAGCCAAAAATTCAAAAATTCCCATCTATGATACAAATTTCAGATTTGATAAGTTTCTTTGCATCTGTTTATGTGAGACTTACAAAAATCACACAGAATCACATAATTTTTTGTCATAACAAAGGTAAAATTTTCCAGTAATCAACGCTACGCTAATGTGCGAGTTCCTGTTTTATGTAAGACAAAAATAGCTGTGTGTTAGTGGCAATAGTCTGATTATTGCAGAGTTTTTTTCAAAATGATAAATATGTAATATTTGCCCATGATAAATAGGTACATTTTTGTGCCTCTCTGTGTGTGCATGTGTTATTTATCCATGTGATCCTTAATCTGTTTACCTCAGGACTAAGTCTTGAAAGCTTTGAAAAGCTTCATGCAACCAATGGTTTTTATTCAATCTACTAAGTAAGTATTTCCTTCTTTCCCCTATAGAGGTAGAATTACATTCCAGTAGATGACAAATTACACTAGCCTTAGGCCAAGATTAGCAGGCCTGGAAGGTAACTCAGTGACGAATATCTCACCATGGTTTTAAGCTGAACATCACAGAAGAGGAGAGACTCTCACTGAAGCCAAAGCTTTGGTAGAGCTGCAGAATGTTCTGTCATGCTCAAATCATGGGGCTGTTGGGTGAAGAAATATGATTTTAGGCATCTCTCTTCAAGAGACCATTTCCAGAAAAGGTTTCAAAAGAAGGTCTATCTTCTTTCCTTTGTAGGCCTAGAAGTGATTATTTTCAGGTTTCATAAAGATTCAGGCCAAAAGGTAAAAAAGTTTTAGAGTGCAAGGGAGAAAAGTGTATTTTAAGAATCTCTGTGACCTTTCACGAGAGTTTGTTCTTTTCCAAAACTATCTGTTTTACAGGGCATATGAAAAAGCTATCTGAGTTATAAAGGGGCTGAAATTGGAGTCAGTAGGATCTGCAGATGTTTATTCACTCTAAAAAGGAGGATAGAAATTGTAGTCAACCAGTATCACAGTTAGCTGTCCTGAACCCCACAGAGCATATTAGAACCCAGAACTTGTGAGTGACAGTCCTGAAGTTCTTACGCATTTCTTTCCAAGAAAATAATGTATATTATACATATTTTTGTTCACTAAAAAAAAAAATATCTCAAAGTATAATATATAAGCAATGGAAAATAGCCCTTTAATGCACCTCTTCTTTTACTAGTGACATTCACAGCCAACAGTTGAATGACTTCACTACTAGTAAAGGGTGCCTGGAGAACTGAAGTGCCCAAAGTGGATCCAAGGGCTGATGTACATGTGTTGTAACTGAGGTCATAAAATACCTGTAACCCTGCCATGTCTCTTACAGCCCTCAGCTGACAGATGAAGCTGTGAAAGCAACGGCATTTCACTGCCACAGAATAACATCTGGCAACATAGCCGGTTGCCCAAAGGTATGTATAAGAAATAGGGAGATAGTTCTGGGATTGCTATTGCAAAGAATTACTCACTATTTCATTCAGAAATTTGACCTGCTGGCATCGTTCAGCTGCTTTTCCATGAGTTTTAAGTTTTGAGACTTAGCTCTTGAGAGGGTTTGGCATTCTACTAATGGTTGCAGTTAAAATATAAAGATGTCCATTCCTTATCAGACAAAAGTTTGTCTCTATGGAGGTTGATGTCTAGGGAAGGGTAGAGGAAGAAGGGCTTTTAGTGATACTCCCTGCAAATATTCTCTCAGGGTTTTGGGTACTTCCAAAGGGTAGTGTTTTTGCTTTAATAACTCTTGGTATTTTCATGCCTTATTTTTTCCTGTGCTCTTTCTGAGCCCAGGTAAAGCATAAACTTGGGCAATAAAACTTAATACCTGTGGCTGTACATGGCAGGGCAAGTGGCTTCTTTGAAATAGCAGAGGTGCCTAAAACCTGATGCACTCAGAGATGTAACTTTATGCTTAATAATTTTGAAGATTCTAAGCCTAAGAAACTAAATCCTTTGGAAAATAAAATTTTTGAGGTATTTGGATAACTTCCAGCTATGGAAGGGAGCCTGTTTTTTTACAGTAAATGGAGAGAAGTGTTTCTACAAAGTATCAGTCAGGGAACCTTTCCTCAGTTCTTTGAGAAACCTCGTCTTTGTTGACTACTAAAAGGAGACTTAGAATAGTAGTTATACCACGGCTATATGAATATTCCCTTAATATCAAAGTTAATGTGACAGTTTTTCTAGTGGTTCCCACTGTCACAAGTGTGCTGGGGAGTCTAATGAAGTGCACTGTTTAGTAGGTATTTATTGCCAATAAAACCATGAGTAGTTCCAGCCATACTCAATTAACTAGCATCTCTTCAGGAAAGCTGCTCATTTTCATTCAGGATGTCTAGATATCTGAAAAAAATTACAATTATTTACAGTAATTAATTTATTTAGATTAAGATTCATCTATAATGAAACTTAGTTCCTCTTTACTGTGAGCTTACAACTTCAGCAATTTTGCCTTCTGTATTTTCTGTATCATTTCTTTTTGATTGAAGTCTTGCATCTCAGTTATCTTTTTCCTGTATCAGAATGTGTGTTCCCTTTTGAAATTATTGCTATTATGAAGGTCTATATGTCTTCCCTGTACTTTGACTTAAAAGCTCTGGCTTTTGTGTCATTAATTGTTTCAGAGGGTTTAATTATTTTCTTTAACAGTAAAACAAAATATTTGCTGCATTCTGACAATAAGCATGCAAATGCAATTTTAAAAATGCAGATTTAAGTTTTTTAATTTCGTGGAAGAAGTTGTCATGTTACTTCCATTACCATCAAGTGGCAATAGACAAGTTTACTTTTGGAAATGTTCGGCTTGAACTATCCTTTAAAATCTCACCACTCACTGGACCAGTTTCTCCCTTTTTTCCCACTGAAGCACCCATGTCCTGTTTCCTTCCCCGATAAGTCTGCAGCCATCGCTTGTCTCTGCCTTCCTCCTCTCCAACACCCATCTCCACAACTCTTGGCTGCCCTTTCAGTGCTCCACACAGCCCTCACATCCTCTCATTTCCTGCAGTGGTTGAACACAGCCTCCTGGGCAACTCGTTTGAGACTACTTGGCTGACTAATTAGCCAGTCCTAAATTATAGATATTCTTTGATCAAGTTGTGTGCCTCCCAAATGTGCATAAGTTTCTCAGCCTCCAGGCCAAACCCCACTGGCTGTGCTTCAGATCTGACAGGCCACTGTATCTTACAATAGCCCTTGGTTTATTCTTTGAGATCCCTATTGTACACCATTAATTACTATATACATGAGTCTCCATCTCCTGTATCCTTTGCTTTTACATAGATATTGAGCCGTTTTTTCCACAATGACAGTGGTAATGGAAGTTGTGCATGGAGATCTTCCCAGAGTAGTTGAGTTAGGTAATGTTGCAATCAGTCTTCTCTACTGTGCTTCCCGCTATATGTTATATACCAACAAAGGAAACCCAAAAAGCTATACACCATAAAAAGTCAATAAACACATTTAGGCTGGCGATTGGCAGATCTTCTGATTATCACAGCAGTGAATTGTGAAACAGCATCCCAGGAAAGGAGGCAGGAGTAAACTCTTAAGGCATGTCAGTATGGTTCCTGATAAGGGAGTGAACTGGGTCATATTTTGTAGTTCCTGCAAATGGGAACAATGAGTCAACTCAGTGACCCTGTAATCCCCTTCCAGCACTTTGTTCCTAGATGGTATCTTTTCTTTAAACAGTTATAAAGCCAATCTGTTAAATGCTAATACCCTATTTTCAGAAAAGAACATCAAGATTCTTCCAAATAAACCTACACATAGGTTTACAAGTCCTTTTTTGACTTGAATCCAGCTTGCAGCTCCAAAAAATGAGATGGGTACACTTGTGGATCTTAAAGCTAATGGGTCTTACAAATCCTTTGGCAATCTGTAGTGTAAATTGAGGGTATCCAGCTGCTAAGTAGGGAAATATTTTCCACTCAGAGATTGTTTAAAAAGGGTCAGGAGATTAAAATCAGAAGGAACCTGTTCCAAAGGGTATATGTTAATGTGTCCTGCAACATCAGAATATATTATACTCAAGAAAATGAATTTTTAAAAAAATCATAGAAAGAGAACATGGGAAAAAATTAATATAGAAATACATGTACACTAAGAATATTTTGGATGTGTTATGCAGGTTACGCTAAAATTAGAAGACCTTATCACTTTAATCGTATCTTTTGGGACAAATCGTATTTCAGTGAATTCCAGTGACTTCAGTGAACATACACTGAGCCTTCCCGTCATGCTTCTGTACACCTTGGGCAGGTACAAGTCATTCTGCAAATGCTGATTCTATAAAATATTCAGTAGTGTTATTCTGAGTCTTATTCAGGGAATGAACCTGATTCAAGGGTAATTCTTATTTCATAGGGAAAAAATGAAGTTGCTGTGGGAAACATATCCTACACATGAAAATATACAGCAAGAACTTAAAATAAATCTCTGGTTAAATGAATTGGTTATTTAAATAGCAAAGTTCTGAAGACACAGTTCAATGAACAATGAATTCTGTAATTCAGTCCTCTAAAGGGAATAGATTGAGTGTATGACGAATGTAGATTTCTCTAAATGCATCTGATACCAATTACTGACTACAGAGCCAACGACTTCTTTTTATTTCAATAGGAATATTAAACTACTTAATGATATTTTAATCTATTTATTAATCTACTACAGATCTTAATATTGAGCATATAAATAAATCTGGACTAAGCAAAGCACATATACATTCCTCTGTATACCAGGAGGACTGTCATGAGGTAGCGTGTGTTTGTTCCAGGGTCCCAGTTTCAATTTGCCTCCTTGTCCCTTTTAGATTCTCCTGAGATTGGCTCTTTAATACAAGTGAAACCCTCATCTCTTTCCACCATCCTGCTCCAGTGATTTTAATCAAATACCTTTAAAAGGTTTTTACTATGTTCCCTCTTGATTTCTGGTCCTGAATGATCAAGGAAATTAAAGTTTTGCATAATGTATTCTTGACTGTTCCCGTTGAGGTCAGTGGAGCAATTACTAGCTTGCATGGCTGTTTACGTACCTTGAAGACTCTATGTGTCATATTTTTCTCAAATGCAACTTACAGCATCAATGGCAAGTTCCTGAAAAATAGAGTTGTGAGGTGAAACTAAGCAGCTGTGCTTCAGAGCTAAAAAACCCCACCAGACATTCAAAAGATCTTGATGTGAGACACCAATTTGTAACAGAGAATTGAGATAAAAAACCTGATATAAATGAATCCTAATAGTTCAGTGAGAGCAAAGCAATATCAGGTAATGCTAAAGGCTTCTATGTGCTACATGGACATATATGGTTGGGAGAGTTAAACCATCCTCAGTAGGTGAAAAAATCCCACAATACTTTAGACTAGACTAGAATCACAGTTAACTAATATCTAATATTAGAAAGTGACAGTTTCTGTGGAGCCTCTTACAGACACACAAGAATTTTGCTGTGCCAGAAACTTTACTTCCATTTTAAGATATAGTTTTCCCACAAATCAGACACTAATGTTGTGCTCAGTGTTTTTTCTTTCAGCTGTTCAGTAATCTTCTAACTTCTGTGTGTCTTGTTGTTTCATTCACAGATAACTGATACACATAACCAGTACTTGGCTGCAGCCTGTCATTGTCTTCATTTCTTGGATGTCTCCAGTTGCATTCATCTTACTGATAAAACACTGAAATGTCTTTGGGAAGGTTGTACTGTAGAAATATTACCAAGAGGATGAGGATTTTCCTAATCTTAATTCAGAGGTGGCTGTGAACTCCAAAACTTGCTTCTTTAACTAGGGGGTGTCCACACTGGTGCCTTAGGATTACCGTGGTCTGGTGGGGTTATCAACATATTCTAGTGTCAGCCAGAAGTGGAGAGAAATACAGACCCCCATCTATCTTTATGGTAGACAATGTCCATTTAGGGAAGTTTCTGCAGACACAGGATATCGCCTCAAGGGCACATGGGGATATGAAGGAGAAAACCAGATGGGACCTAACACTCTCAGCCATCACATTATGTACTTCAGCTCACTCCAAGAGTTTGTAGGAGCCTGTTTCCCAGTGACTGAATGTCAGTATATGGCAGAAGTAGGTGTAGGCCTGTGCTCAAAACACAGGATAGTTACAGAGAATCAGTCAAGGTATGGTGCTGTGACCACTGTCCCAGGGAGCCTGTTGCAGTGACTGATCTCTTAGGGAAGAACCTTTTCCTGAAGTCCAGTCTGAACTTCCCCTGACACAGCTTGTGCTTTATCACTGGTCAGCAGAGGAGGGGATCAGCACCTCCCCCTCTACTACCCACCCCTGAAGAAGTTGTGGATGAATTGCCATGAGGTCACCCCTCAGCCTTCCCTTCTCCAAGTGACTGCTCCTTGTAAGTCTTGTCCTCAAGACATTTCACCATCTTGGTCACCTTCCTCTGGATGCTCTCTAATAGCTCTCTCTCTTTATGTTGTGGTGCCCACAGTACTCAAGGTGAGGCTGCCCCAGTGCTGAGCAGAGCGGGACAATCCCTCCCTCACCTGGCTGGCAATGCTGCACCTGATGCCCCCTTGGACACGGTTGGCCCTCCTGGCTGCCAGGGCACTGTTGGCTCATATTCAGCTTGCCATCAACCCAAACTCCCAGATCCCTCTCTGAAGGGCTGCTCTTCAGCCTTTCATCTCCCAGTTCGTATGTGTAACCAGGATTCCCCCATCCCAGGTGGAGAACCCAGCACTTGCTCTTGTTCAGTTTCACACAGCTGGTGATTGCCCAGCTCTCCAGTCTATGGAGATCTCTCTACCCTTAAAGGACTCTCATTTAGTATCACTGGCAAACTTTACATTTGATTCCTGCCTCCAGATAATTTATAAAAACATTAGAAAAGTACTGGCCCTGAAATTGAACACTGGGGAACCCCACTGGTGACTGGCTGCCAAATCCAAACTCACCACATCTACTGGCTTCCCTTGGTCAACCAGATGGATGACTTTGTCATAAAAGGAAATTAAGTTGGTAAAGCAGGACCTTCCCCTCATGAACCTATGCTGGCTATGCCCAATGACTGCATTGTCTCTCAAATGTTCTTCAATAACTCCCAGAATAACCTTCTGGATAATTTTACCAGGCACTGAAGTGAGACTGGAGAGCCTGTAATTGCTGGGGTCTCCCTTCTTACCCTTCTTGAAAACTGGGAGAGCTGAGTTTGCAGTTGATTTTTCACCTGTGAGTCTCAAAAGTTGTGGCTTCAATGAACACCACCCTTCCATGGGGGTTAAGAGCATCACAGACCAGGCATAGTGGCCAGACACGCCACAGGGCCTGAAACTGGTCAGGAATTAAAGTGTAGACATGGTTGATATATCTGAGTATACAACTTAATAAAAATTTATGAGACTAAGAAATATATAATACCATCTTATATGGACAGTCCATACTAGGAGAGCTCTAACCCCACTCTAACAGGACCATGGTAGGTAGTGCACTCCCTGCTAAACCATTCCAGGGTTTACTAGTCACTTTGGAGACCACAAGACCAATGTAAATGCTTAATAACTTCAAAGATATTTCCAGTGAGTTTCACACTTTCCAAACACCCCTCTGTTATTTCCATGTCTAACCACAAAGAATTCTGCTGTCATTGCTCTTATATTCACTTCTCTCTGACTTAGTTTTCTCAATGTCATCTCAGAACTTCCTTCTTAAAACCTCTACTTCGAATTAAATGCTTGTTAGACACAGAAAGAGCTTTGAAGGATTGGTATGCGAGAGTAGTAATTGAAAAAACCAACCTAAATTAATTCAAATTCATTTAATCTCTTCATAGCTTTATGAATTACAGTTTTTCTCATGCTAAGCCTCAAGGGATTTTCTTTTATCATGAGATTAACTGTTGTTGACTTGTTTATTCTGTGACTTCACATCACTCTTTAGAGGCAGCAACACTGCACTGCTTCAGCCCTCTAAGGCCTTGGTTGCTTATCCATCTTCCCATTGAGGTGAGGTGTAATAGGAACAGAAATTTGTGTGAATTCCAACTTGTGTTGGGTGAGCCGCGATCAAAGACCTGACATGACTTATGTGCATTGTTGCAGCCTGGATGACCAAGGATTATGCCTCTGCCTCAGAGTCCCATATGCTATGGGTTCTCCAAGTGTCTTGATTAAACTCTTCTGACTCAGCCAAGGAATTTCTCAACCAGTTATTTTTACTGTAAAGAAAACCCTGGAGAGTTATAGATCTTTGCAAAACAAAAAAGCAACCATGAGACACACACCTCCGCCCAGTGTTATCTTTGCCCTTTTTGTGATTTTTAGAACCAGGCAAACTTTGCCAATTTTACTTTTTTGAGCCTGATTTTCTGGACAGTGGATGGTCCTTTTCTTTGCCAGCCTCAGCCTCTAATCCTTTGCACCATATGTTCTATGATAGGAAACTCCTGAGTCTGGGACAAAAACTATCAGACGGATCAATCATGCAGATTAATTCAGCACTGGATATTTTTTGCTTGTTCCTTCCAAAGACCCTCCCTAGACCCTGCCAGGCCACAGGTCAATGATATTCAGAAGATAAAAGGGAGTTCACAGCTAGATTCACATATATTCCATATCCTGCATGTTTCCCACTTTAGCAAAATCTTTTTTTCATTGCAGTTGAAGGCCAATATGGCAAAAATGATAAAAAATTTATCTTTTGCCAATAACTACATCAAAAGCACAGTAAAATACGGCATGATTCTAGAATTAGTTATCTTGCAGTATCTCTTCAATGACATCAAAAGCAATGACAGTATTGTCACTGTCACAACATATTTCTATAAAACTACATGTTTCAGTCACAACCTGTATGTTTTTTGTAAGGAATAATAAGCAAAAGGTTGTCAGGAAAATAAACAACGGGGCCTCATTCTCTGTTTTCAAACTAACTCTAAAACCTCATTCAGGTTCTTAGATTTTCACAGGATGTAAATGCTGGTTTCAGGTGTAATTTATGTTCTGCATGTGTGAAACCTACACTGCAGAGACATTTCATTCCCTGTTTAAAGAGATGGAAGAGGTCATCTATGTAAAAATCAGATTCAGCTGGAGAATTAAACATGCTAGTGGCTTAGGTTCTAAATAAGCAATAGAAGAAATATGTTTTTAGTTTAAAGTTGCCCTAAAATCTCTATGGATCCTGTATACTTCACTGTGCCAAAGGAATTCCCCATTATTTATTGTTAAACACTTATCAGTCCTAGCAGATATCTCTTAATAGACTAAACCTTTCAAATATTGAGCACATCTCTTGTATCGTGTCACATTATTTTTCAAAGTTTTTTTGATTTTTACTATTTTGATGGATTAAAATAGAAAACATGTGGAGCCACAAAGTTCTTCAAGTTTCAGTCCAATGTAGCTTCATAGGAAACAGTTACGAGTGTATAAATTGTCCATTCTTTCCAGTATCAGGCAGCATTCGAGGTCATATTTGCCGACATACTGCCCTGGTTCCAGGTTTAATAAATGTTAGAAGAAAAAAAAGGTCTCTGTGTCCAGAGGCTAATGACCTGTCAATTAATCCTGTTTCTAAATGTCAGAAAGAATCATGGATAATCTATCTGTGGGAGAATATAGTACTGGTACAGTTTATTTCTTCTACCAGAGAAAAAGAAAGCTAACTAACCACTTTTTAAAGCATAGCCTCTGTAGGAAAAAGTTGTGTCAGTTCTGATTTGCTTAGGACTAATCCTACAGGAAATAACACAGCGGCATCTTCAGAGAAACATTTCTCTTCACTGTAAAACATTCTGTGTTACCATTTCTAGATGCAAAATGAGAAAGGAAAGATGTCATTGACAACAGAAGCCAGCCACTCTTCTGCTCTCCCCAAACTGCATCTCATCTGTAACAGTTTGTTCCATTGAAAGATCTTTAAGAGCAAAATTAAATGTTTCCTTCTTTCTTGTATGCACTGATATAAAACTAGTTACATTTCTCCTAAAATTATGACTACACTGTTAACAAGTGACTCATCAACAAATGCTATTAAAATTTTTGCCTTTTGAAGAAAAATTACATTGGGTCTTAATAGTTACAATACATTTGACATTTGAAGAACATTCTGATTTTTGTTTGGTTTTGTTGTTTTTGTGTTTTCTGATGGTTGCTGTTGGCTGGAAAGGAGATTGCAAGAACTCTTTTTTCCTGAAAAAGCAGAATTTCTTAGGTATTATCCAAATATGCAGGTCTCAAGGCAGGAAGGATCTGGGAGTCCCACACATATGTAACTGGAAATGAAGACAACCTACACATGACTAACAATAATTACTCCTAAGTTTTCTTTTAAAAAGCAACAAAAATAAAGTACTGTCTTCTCACAGACTCTAAATTGCTCCTTGGAAGTGGCACAGAGGCTCCTGGAGTGCCATGTTTCAGCCATCATGTGCAGATGAACTGGATCCCATAAAATGATAAAACTACTGCAGCTGACATAGGCCTCAGAATACTTTGGATTCAATGTAGTCTTATCACCTTTGGTAACCTGGAGCATGCATGCAGGATGCTTCCTGCTTTTCCCATTAGCTGCCTTCCTCCACTTGCCTCTTTGGCTTGATTTCTCCTGCACTTGCACTATAAACAGTTCTCCCATTTTTAAGTTTTTATTTTCCATTACTTTTTACTCTTGATTGGTTTCTGTAACCTCATCTCAAAAAGTCTTTTTCAAAACCTTTGCTTTTTATTATGATGGACCCAGTCAAACACTGCTGAATTTTGGAAAGGACAGGATTCAGACCATGATGCAGAACTGTATTTCCTACCTCTTCTCAGTAAAAATGATTGAAACTTTGGAAAAGGATGCAATTACGTATTCCAGTGCTGCTCAAGCTGTGTGTTTGGGCCAGTACTTTTGTCTCACTTATACCAGGAGATAGTTGTTTTGCCAAAGATAATTGCAATTATTTCCTGAAATGCTTTTAGTTATCAATGTGTTCATTTAAGGCACTAGATAAATAAATAAGCAGGCTCTATCATAGTACAGTATATCTTGAATAAACAATCTTTTTTGCCATGTGTTGATGATTAATGAATGGCTGTTTCTGGCAAACCACTCAACTGCAGGTCCACGCATCAGACATCATAAATTTCAAAAAAAATAGTAACAGTTCCCCTTATACATGCTTCAGACAGCCACCATACATTGCAGTTTCCATGAAAAACAGGAATTTGGACTTAGATGAGTTGATTTTTGTTTTATAGCTCAGAGCTTATAGCTCATATAAGTTGTGCACACATTCCTCCATGGCACAGGCCTCCCTAATATAAAAACAGATGCAGCCTTATGTTCATGTGGTTTATACAGTGTGTCAGTGTTGGAGATTTAAAAAAAAAGTATCCTGCAGTGGCTGAAAAGGAGCTCTCCTTGCTTCACTAATTTTGTCCCTTTTCCACTCCTGCCCACTTCCTATTTCCTGCTGTGGTGGTGCCAGTATTACAGCTGGGCATGTCTGCCTCTTTTGTAACCATCTCAGCATTTCCACTTTAGGAGAAAAAAAGAAAGAAAAAACACTGTAGTAGCACTACTGGCAGATAACACAGCACTTTAAATTTGGAATTTTTTCTAGTATAGTCTAGAAGCTGTATACTATATCATTACAGAGCCTAGGAATTGGCCAGCAGGGAGGAAGACTGCTTTGCTGTGGCTGTGACACACCAGATCTGGTTGAATCTCCTGAAGAGGAGATGTAAAGAGTTGGCTCTTCCTCAAGGAGCACAAGAGCACACTCAGCCCAGGAGAGGTTTCTGGAGCGCGGGAGCAGCAGTGGGGGAAGTGGGTGTGGAGCCAGGAGTGGGCTGACTGCCAGGTCACAGAAGGGATGGAAACAGAGAGATGTTCAAAAGACTGAAAGTGGCGGGTTGAGTTTCTTCAGCTTGGGAAGGTAATGAAAGTTACTAGACTGATACTGCTGGGAAAGGAGGGAGAGGAGAGAGTTGCTCTTCAAATCCTTTTTAGGGTGTTTCACATAGGAGGCCTGATTTTCTCCTATTTTGCTTTTGTGTTCTAATGCTGTTAGCAGGTAGTGGCCACAAAATGTTGAGGGAGATCTGAAGGTCATGGGTAGTTTTGGACATCATAGATAACTCTTTTCTGTTCAGCTATCAGAGAGGCTGCAAAACACAGCCTTGGGATGGGTCCAGGACCAGTGCAGGTAACTGTAAGGCTCTATAGCACTGCCCTCTGTGTACTCAATTCCATTTCTGAAACAATACACTTTACAAGAGGTGGGTGACAGAAGATAACTACAATTGAGAGGGTGGCCAAAAAGAAAGCAGAGGGTGAAGGAGGAAAGGGTAAAAATACTTGGAGGTGTTAAAGACACTGTTCAAACAGAAAAACAGAGAGAAGGACCTGCACACTTACTTTAGCCTTTCTATAGAGCTACGAAAAATCACTCTGGAGATGTTGTGATACCTTCTGATGTAGCTGGTTTCTTTATCTTGTTTGGTGTTGTTTTTGTCCAAACACAGTGCTGTCATTCTAATGGCCTTGCCTACTCAGATCTGTGTTTAGGCAGACACTGGCACACTAGAGCAAGTGTGGATGAAGCCCACCAGGACCATTAAAGGGCTGGAACACATGACTTGTGAAGAGTCTTCAGAAAATTGCTTTGCTAAGTCACAAGAGAAGGCTCAAGATGGAGGAGACCTTATTTGCTGTCTCTGATTCTGATCAGAGGACACAGAAGACAAGACATAGCCAGACCATTCTCAAAGGTGCACTGATAGGACAAGTGGCATACGTAAAATTCTGATTACAACAAAACTAATTGTTTAATCAGGAGGCTGGCCAAACCCTTCAACAGGGTTGTGCAACCTTCAACCCTACAGATACTCAGAACTCATCTGGCAAAGCCATAACCCACCTTGTCTAGTTGGATCCATTTAAATCAAGATCAGGATTAAATGATCTCCAGAGACCTTTTCCAACCTAATTTCTTCTGCGACCCTATGGCCTAAAAAATTATCTTCTGTTTAAGTTTCCACATAGCTCTTATATAGTATTCATATCTTCAGCTAAAAAAATTTTTCTCATTAAACTGCTTTTAGGGTTCTTTGTAGAAACAGCCTCTAAAAATGTTTGTCATTATTATTTTAAAACCCTTGTTGCAGACAAGCTGTCTTGAGAGAAACATGAATATAATGATGCTGTTTTGGATATGACTGGGATGGCAATATAACTACCTTTACCAAAAAACACATATCAGAGCCTGAATAAACAAATTCTTCAAATGAAAAATGAAGAAATTGAACAAAATCTTCTACAGTTCAAGGGTTTTTCTCTAGAGCATGAAAAGAACACTGTATTATTTTTTCTTAAAACTAATCACACTTTAATAAAAGGCCATTTGTTGCATTAGTAAGGAAGCATTGCAAATCTTTCTCATGGGAGTGCAAATGCCTCCAAGCAAGACAGCTGCACTCAGACAGCACTTCTAACCCTCAGATGTTGATTCAAGCTGTCTTCATCTTTCGATAATGAAAGTTTTTGTAGTCCCATGCAGGGTAAGCATGTGTTTGGGGTTCTTGTGTGCCATGAAAGTCCTCTCCAGGCCATTAACACTCTGACTCCCCACAGAACTTCACACTTGACATGGTTGGTACTCATCAAGTACAGCATTCTTGAGTAACTGAGAACAGTGAGTAGGTAGTGACTGCTATTCTTTAATATGCAATGATACATGTACATTTAAGAACAGTTCTCCACTTCTCAACAGCCACTTGTGCACCCAGAGCCCAAATTCTCATAAAACCCTCTTGGGCTGAGCTTGTCTCTAAGTAAGCTGCAGATATGAACTGTGAGCTGGCTGGCAGCTGACAGATCAGGAGAATCAAATTAAAAAGAGCACAGATAAGAAAAATGTGAAAGAATAAATTTTCTCCTGTTACAAGAACATGTCTTGTCATCAAATGGATGAACAAAAAAAAAAAGCACACATGGGATTTGCCATTCAAATTCTAATTACTGATAACCTACTAATCTTCACTTGTCTACAGAAAACTATAGTTTCACTTCATTACAGCAGAACAAGACATTACTTAATGTTTTTTGGGAAACTCCCAAGGATTTGTCCTTCTTCAGCTCATTCTTGACCTTTATATTAAGGTTCTAGCTTGTCTCAACATTTACTACCTTTAAAAGAATATAATAATTAGCTTTAGTGGCAGCACAATTTTTCTGCTGGCTTATTTAAACTTCTTTAGGCAAGTAACTAACAATCCTGATGTTTAAGTCCTGCTAGTTTTGGAATATGAATGCCTTAGTTTGCTTTCTTTTGAACATAGAGCAAATAACATGTTTTCTTACTATGTTCTTCCTTATATTGCTGATGCAGCAGTCCCAAAAAGCCCAACCTTAATCTCAGAGCGTGACAGGCTTTGTACTCTGTGTGAATAATGGGAACATTAAATGGACTTGGTTTTCTGAAATATCTATTAGACTGTTTTTATGTTTCCATGTGGTGTGAATTTTGAGGTGCTTCTTTCACTTTGGTTCCAGCATAGAAATCATTAGTTTCAAAAATTTTTCGGAATATCCAAACCCATTATAGATTTATTAATACTGTACCTTTTAAAAGTATAATAATAACAACCAGTAATATTGTAATGCATTTAGTAATACTATTAGAAGTGGTTTATATATTAGCATTTATATGAAAAATACATATAACTTATCATAAACATCAGTGCCCACTTCATCTCAACAAACAGTACACACAACAGCAAAAAGAATGTGGAGTTTTTAACCACCCTATGTTACAGTAAAAATGCTGCCCTTGACTACTGAAGTCCATTAGCCAGGGACAGTTATACCTTCTGGGGGATCATGTGGTAAAGAAGTTCATCTCATAATGTACCATTATGATCTAAAGCACACACAACCTAAAACCAGAGCTGATAGTCTGAACTCTCCTCTGTTACTCTCCATCCACTTGGTTGGCAGAGATTCTTACATTTCAGTTTTAAAACACAAATTTCAGTACTTCTTTTATAAGGTGTCATACAGATGTATGGAAAGGCTTTTAAAAGCTCCATTTACTTTACTGTGTGTTTCTGTTACAGTAACACAAAATCCTTCACAAAAATCATGTCTGCCTTTGTGCAGGGCCTACCTCCTTCTCTCACCTCCCTCCTCTCCCTTCCTGCCCCAAAGAGCTCACTGGCAGCCTTGCAAGATGGGGCTGGAAGTCACTGGAAACAGATTACAGTTCTCAGTTACCCAGCCAATACTTCCATTCTATGGCAGATTCTACTTTAGGGGAATGTTCATGTGGACTCTCACCTGAAGTCCAGTTGGTGGAGTGTTCCTCCTTGAAATCAGACAGACCCATTACGCTTCTATTTACTTTAAAAGCTTTTCTTTGCAGATGATCAGCAGCAGACATAGCTAGAGCTCTTATTCCTATCCAGAAACAAGCAGTTCAAGAAGACGGAGCAAGTTTTGCCATTTCACAGCAATAGTTTTACACTGAGTATCCACTGACAAGGCAGAAACTACTTAAGGTTCAAACACCAAACGAGAAGACCACAGAAGAACCACAGTTCTGAAAGTGATTTTATCCTATTCAAAATAGAGACAATTTGGTTAAAGAAAATTCTCTGCATTTTGCATAAACCAACAGAATTTCCACAGTATTGAGACATTTAATTTAAAAGTGTAACAGAGCTTGCAAAGCACGTCAACTTGGAAGTAAATTCTCGTATCTGGAGATAAGAAGTGTCAAAAATGCTTTTTATTTTTAAATGACAATTCCAAACTTTTGTTTGAAACCTACCAGCTTTTAAACTGACATGGTAAGTGAGTCAAGGTATATAAATTCTGAATATGTAAGACCATCTTATTCCTAAAAGGCACTAAAAGTACATAAGACCTGTTTAGCACCAGCACTGTCACAGGCAAATCTTGGATTAAAACACCCTCATTTTTAATATCCTTTCTCTGTTATATTAAGAATATACATCAAAAAAGTTCCATAATTTTACACAAATGTTCCTTTACAATTTCTTGATTTAATCTCTTCGGCCTATTTCAGCATTAAGAACTCTTCAGCTTGACAGACTGGATCCAACTTTGGCTTTTAAGATATACTTTGCCATTTTGTGTGTCAGCCTTAATCCATTTGTCTGTTTCATCCTTTTGATTCATGTGACCTGAAAAAGAGAGTTTTGTTAATTTAATTTGACACACAGTAAACGTATCATCTTTACACTGCCATTCTTTCGAAGCTCCCTGGAAGAGAGCACACTCTTTCATTTGGTAGAATTTGTCTGTTTTTAATAGAGGCTGCTGACATTTCATTCTTGATACGGTTTATTTGCATTAACCTCATTTCCCATAATACATCATCACAATAAAGTTTTGAATCTTATTCTATAATACTGTACTTTTTATTATGGGCTAGCAATATGTTATGGTGGGCTAACCCTGGCTAGATGTCAGTGCCCACGAAAGTTGCTCTATCTCTCCTCAGCTGGACAGGATAGAGAAAATATAATGAAAGGCTCACAGGCTGAGATAAGGACAGGGAGAGGTCAATCATCTGTTACCATCATGGGCAAAACACTCAACTTGAGGAAAAAAAACTTTTTTTATTACCAATCAAATCAGAGTAGGGTAATGAGAAATAGACTCAAATCTTAAAAAACATCTTCCCCCCACATCCCTCCCTTCTTCCTAATTCAACTTCACTCCTAAATTTTCTACCTCCTCCCCACCAGTGGGACAGAGTGGGGAATGGGGATTGTGATCCATTCACCACATCATCAGCTCCTTCCCCCATAGGAGGAGAACTTATATTCTTCCCCTACTCTGGCATGGGTTCCTTCATGGGCTGCAGGTGGATCTCTGCATCCTCTGGCCCTCTCTGGGCTGCAGGGGCACAGCTGCCTCACCAGGGTCTGCACCACAGGCTGCAGGGAATCGCTGCCCAGAGCACCTCCTCCCCCTCCTGCTTCACTGACCCTGGTGTCTGCAGGGCTGTTTCTCTCATATATTCATTTTCACTCCTCTCTTTGCTTGTGCAGCAAGCTTTTTCCCTTTAACTGTGTTATCCCAGAGGTGCTAACACTGTCACTGGTGGGTTTGGCCTTGACTGGTGGTGGGTCCATCTGGGAGCCAGCTGGCTTTGGCTCTACCAGACATGGGGGAAGCCTCTGGCAGCTTCTCACAGAAGCCACCCCTTTAGTAGCCCCCCTTACCAAAATCTTGTCACACAAATGCAATACATCTATCTATAAGTACTAGTTTTGTCTGGGATAGAGTTAATTTTCTTCATAATAGTTAGTACGGATCATGTTTTGGATTTGTGCTGAAAATTGTGTTGATAACATAAAATTTGTTATTGCTGAGTGGCCCTTGCACAGCATCAAGGCCTTTTCTGCTTCTAATACTGCCCTGCCAGCAAGGAGGCCAAGGGCACACAAGAAGCTGGGAGAGGACACAGCCAGGACAGCTGACCAAAGGGATGTTCCACATCACACGGCATCATGCTTAGTATATAAAGCTGGCAGAAGAAGGAGGAGGGGAGGAGCATTCTGAGTGATAGCATTTGTCTTACCCAGTAACTGTTACATCCCCTTCTTTCCTGGGAATGGCTGAACACCTGCCTGCCCCTGGGAAGGAGTTAAAGAATTCCTCGTTTTGCTTTGTTTGCTTGTGCAGCTGTTGCTTTACCCATTAAACTGTCTTTATCTCAAGCCATGAGTTTTCTTACTTTTACTCTTCCACTTCTCTCTCTCATCCCACTGGTGGGAGTGAGAAGCTGCATGGTGCTCCATTGCCAGCTGTAGTTAAGCCATGACACTACATGACATATTAATCTGGTTAAGTAATTTGAAAAGTTTTCATTATTACTGTAAATACAGAAAAGAGACCTAATTATCCAGATGACCAGACATGTTTCTACTATTTCTGTTTTCTTATGATAATGGCCTAAAAAAACCCCAAAAAAGCAACTCTGAAATGTCTGTCTTCTTATGTTTCACATAAATTTCATTTCAAAATTATGCTCTGAAAAGCTCACTGTATAATAGAGTTCAACTTACTCTCTCTTAGCCTCAGTTTCTTAATTGTAAAATGAGGGTAAGTGACCTTCCAAATTTATACAGATTTGTGTCCAAATTGGGATTTAAACTGAGATCTTTTAATCAGAGCCTTTATCACAAGATCAACCTTCATGTGTTCGTGTGACTGAGTGAATTCTAAGTTTAGAACTAGTTTGAGCCTGGAATAGCATGAGGGATGGCAGGAAAGCAGTTTCTGAACCAACTTTGCAAAACATGCTCTGCTCTGTAACACAGCTGAAGTTAAATGTTGGCCACAGCAAAAACAGTGGCAGAAGTCCAACTGACATCACTGCATCGA